GCCTCCTCTTCGATCTTCGTCAAATTCGAACGGCCGTGATAGCTGTCGGACTTCGCGATCTTTCCCTTCATTCTATCTGCAATTGTCGACTTGGGGACATTGTATATCTCTGCGGCGCGTCGGATACTCAAGCGCGGTGTTGATCGAATCGCATTGATCGCGAGAAGAACTCGGTTTTCTGGGAAGCTGTCGGACATTGTTGTGGTAGAGAAAACGCGTGTTGAAGTTGGGTGGTTATGGTGGGGGAAAATGTGTCCGAGTCAATGGGGTGTCCGAGTCAATGGTGGATCACGTTATATAAATCATATGATTTCACCTCATTAGAGCAGGGGCTCGTTTCGGATTGCCAAGCCTGTCGGAACCGCTACGAGGCAAACGAAGGGAAAAAGGTCAGTGGTCGCAGAGTTTCACGAGGATGTCAATTTTTTGGTTGTTCCTAATGTTGATTGTGTTCTGTGTTCTGTGATCAACTGTCGGATGTTCCAGACAGCCTCCAAGTATCACCAGCCACATGTGGGTCCGTCTTGGCACCCCCTGAATCAGGGTTCATGTTCCAACACCCAGAGGTGCGCACCGCTGGCTCTGAAAGACCTCTGACTCTACTGACAGCAACAATCTCTTGATCTTGTCCGGCAGGTTTGGAGCGTCCACCTACTTTGATGACGAACTCGATGCCGGAGACAGCGCCAGTGCCAAAGAGGCGAAACAATCTATCGGCTGCCTCCCAGGCTGGCCTCGCGTATCGCTAAACGACCGTGCCGCTGTGGAAGAGTTGCTCCACAGAGAATTCTACGCCTCCGACCCGGAAACCGTTGCGCCGCGTCTATGGGTCATGTCAACGCAGTCCAGCACGAACATCGAACCGCTTCATCGACAGAGAATTAAAGGGCGTGAGATACTGGTCACGGAAGATCCTCGTCTGCACCTGGTATGGATTCATGATCGGATATTCATTAAGCCGATCCCAAGATACTTGCTGTCGCACCGTTCCTGGGAGGACTTTCTCCTTCCCAAGCCTCCTGTACGAGGCACCCGGCAGGAGAATGCCCAAAGAGCCGCTGCCGGGTATCTCCGTTCTTATTGTTACCTGATCCAACATGAGTCCGACTTCGACATCGCGAAGCAGGATCACCTGCGGCTCGTTCCTCGGCATGTTGAGTGACCAGAGTTTTGCCGCTTTATCTCGAATTTCGGTCGGATCGAAGATATCGGCGTGTCGTCCCGGTATCAATACGGCGAACTGAGGTTGTCGCGGCTTAACTTCTATGCGCCATTCCTGTTCGGCAAGTTCAATTTCCAGAAGCCGCATGGCCAGTACAGCGACTACTTCGCACGATTTTATGGCCCTCTCCTGTTCGCCTTTGCCGTGGCCTCGACGGTCCTCAGTTCTCTGCAGGTTGAGATGGCGGTTGATCAGGCATCTGCGGCGCAAGGAGTGGTTCTTTAGTCCGTGTGCCGCTGGACTAGTACTCTGATTTTAGTGGCGACTGTACTGATTGCTCTTGGAGTCTGGCTGCTTTGGCTGTGGTTGTTTTGCGATGAGTGTTTGTATGCGCTGAAACGCCGGGCGAGGAAAAGGCGGGAGATTCTGTCCCACTCGGACTGCTGAGCAACCTTCCGGTTGCTGGGACTCCGGACAGAGAAGGAAGGAAGTTACTGCATCTGTACATCCGTCAACAATCACTCTGGCCATTCTTGCTAGTCGGCTATCTTGACATCAGCTCAATATCACAGATCGGTTCGTCACGTGCAACCATCACCGGCGGCAGCCGAGCGTCATCGGCCTCCGCAGCCACCGCGTTGTCGTGGACCAGGCCATGAACCGCGTCGCGGCCCCGGAAAGGCAGCCCCTGGGACGCGTCCGGCAGCGTCGCGCGGTCGGGGTGGTTGGTGTCCCAGGTGTTGGCCAGCGGCTCGCTCAGTGGCCGGTAACCCTCGTGGGCCGGGCCGGGACGATGGCCGCCTCGTTGTCCGGCGATGGTCTCGTTAGTGTGCGTGAGTGTGATAGTGTGTGAGTCTGATGATAATATGCCCGGGCAGGGAAGACCGATGCGTTGGCTCAGCGCGACAGATGATTGGTCCTCGCTCCAATGAAAATCGCTCCCCTTCCTTGTTGCTCAGTAATGGTGCGGGGGAACAGGTTAAGAAGGTGCGCTGCCGCACCCCGGGATTGGGACGAGCCTCGACTGGTTTGATTCATGCAGAGCTTTCTTGTCATGATGAAAATTGATCTGCATGTTGCAGCCTTACACCGATTTGGGCCAAGACCCTCTTCGCAGCTGTCCACCCCTCCATGGTTGGTGGTCGCTGGCATAGGTCGGGCAGAACTGCATCGGCAGTCTCGAGGCAGTGCTATTCTGCATGAGGCTGCGGCAGGTTGCCTTCGCTGGTTGGTTGCGACAAAAGCGCAATTCCAGAGCCTGCCCTCCCTCCCTCCTCTCGACCTGGTCTAGTTGGGCGGGGTTGAATTCTGCAGAGTTCCCCGCTTCCTGCCTCCATACGGAACCGCGCGGAACGGTGCAAGACACCAAGATGGTTAGGGCTCGCCTTCTCGGCCGCCAAGGCCGGCACGTCGCGCGCCGTTGCGGCCATCGAGTTGAGCTGGCGAAGGCAGTCAGCACTTCCGCCGTAGCGGGGCCGATCAGGTCTGTAGAATCGGCATCTGTTTCCGGGTTTACGCGCTCGATCATAGCGCAGTCCTCCACGGCAACTAGCATTAGCAGACGCCGCGTGACGGCTGCGCGTGCACCGCCGTCATTCTCTGGCGTGTATCCGCGCTTTCATGAAGATGAAGTCGGCTTGCGGTTTGGTGTCCTCGTCCTCCTTGGACTGCCAGCCTTAACGGCTAATGCCGCCGGTTGCGCCATGGAAGATATGGGGTTGTCATGTTGTGAATTACCCCACACGCCCAGTTGGGAACTGCGCTGCTCCGCTTTGCAATCTGCCAAGAGTAGGGCTGCAAACGCGTTTGGTTGACTAGAAATAAGATTTGCAAACGCGTTGGTGGACGCGTTGGCGGAACGTGTCGCCAAAAGGCGCTGTTAAGATCACACCGCAGGAAAGATGGGAAACGGAGTTGGGAAACGGAATAGTACGAAACTGAGCGGATACGAGGTTTACCGTTTTGATGCTCAGAAACGTCCTCAACACGTGACTTAAGCTCCGCTGAGTCAGCAATTTGGACCCAAAGAAGAAGTTAACGGCCAGGTCCGCATTCACGTTCTCCCCCTCCCGGCAAGGGCGACAGCTTCTGGTCTTCGTCGTTGTTCAAAGGGTGCGGTTTTTTGTCCTCGAAGCTACCGGTTCTGGACCCTTCTGAGCAGACACAGAACTTTTATGGGCAAAAGCTTGCGCTGGTGATGACGGCTCGGTGCGTTGCTGTTTGAGTGTTGTGATAGTCCTCGCATTTGGCAGTGCCGTCGCCGGCGTTCCTGAGATGTCATTCTTGTCGGGGATTTCCTCGCGCTGAGAGTCTTCCTCGAACGCAAGGTTGGCTGTAGGGTCTGTGTTGAAAGTGGGTGACGTGGGGGACTTTTACCACCCTCACTGCTTGGTTGCAATGTTGCCCCGCCGGCGAGGGTGGCGTGGGAGTCTGGACATCGCTTACCACCACCACCGCCTTCGACGGCATCGCGACTGGCGGTATGATCGTGTTGCCACTCCTGGGAAGTGCTTGGTTGGCAATGGTATGTTCGAGACCGGCACTGACTACCTCGTGTGGACGATTAAAGGAAATTGTTGGGAATCCTTTCTTCGGCGCAAAATGTCGCTTCGCCCATGACCGCAATCTCTTGAACCCCAACTCCTTCCAGCCGGTTTTGGCAGTATTTGACGCAAGTTTTGATACCTCATCGTTGGTGTGCAGGCGTAACAGATGCTGTGGTGTTTACGCCGGATTGCGAGAACAAACTCGTGTCAGAAAACAGGAGCGACCGTTAGCATCATCTTGCATCGGCCTGAGGATTGTCCAGGCAATGAAACTTCGGAGAGCGGCATGCACGTGCTCAGTCACAACGAGGCTTTGGACTGCATGGGAGGATGCAGCCGGAATGTGATGTTGGTATTGAGTGGAGGGGATCGTTTCAAATGTCCCACCATTCAGTGTCTTGTACTGTCAAACTTCTCGAAGTTCTCTTCTCTCCCTATATTCGCAACGGGACCGGCCTACCGCACCTTACCGTACCTAGGTACCTCGCCTGTACCTCACTTTACGCCAGTCGGTCGAGGAGCCTGCTCGATTGAGACCGCCGACCCGACAACATCGCCGACACGACAGCAAACCACAAAACGGCAACGCCAATGGCTGAGGGTCCGGTGTGCGGTCGCCAACTCGCATTCTTGTGCTGCGTCCTTTACACCTTTATTGCCAACAACTTCCTCCGAATCTTGGTCAGGCGGCACCTCTCAGGCAGGTTGTACTTGCTTTTTGCCGTCCTCGCCACGCGCCTTGTCGTCGAATTCTCCTGGGTACGTCTCCACCAATACTTGACGGGCAATAACTGGGGTTGGACCTTTTGTTCGAATGGCAGTTGGAATGCTGCCCACTATCTTCATCGACCTCGTGCTCGGGGGCAGCTATTACTCGACATGGAATTTCAGATACTGAGGGCCTCGGCAGCGCTGCAAGCTACCATGGATGGAGGCTGGGATAGATAGGTCTACGATGTGGAAGCCTTCTCTCAACACGGAACCATACAAGGGGCTGAGATCTCAGGGTCTGGTAATGTAGGGAATTCAAGACCTTAGAATTACCGACTCTTTTGTTCGTGATACGTTGAAGATTGTCGAGATGGTGACTTAAAGTCCTGAAGACCACGTTGAGAGAGTAAAACTCTAGTTTTATGGTACATACGCCTGTTTATCCATTCTAACTTCTAAGGTATACTTCGTATCGTCCACCTTGTGTATTTTCGCCGCATTTTTGGACCGCCAAAGCAGCGCTGTGCTGCCTACATCTACCAAATTCACAAAGCCAGTTCATCAATTTTTCCCAACCCAGCTCCTAGACATGGGTCACAGCCCTGACGCCCTTCATCATAAGCCATCCCGACAGTGTAGCGTGCAGTCGCCCCAGTCGGCTCTCCAGTAGCATGGGCGCGGCCTCTTCCCTCCTCCACATCCAGGTCTCATTGACGAACACCAGATCCCCATCATCCTGCAGCTCAATCCCAGCCACAACAACACCCCTGACGACCGGGCCTCTGTAAGTAGGTGGAGGGTCCATCGCCATTTCCAGCCTTCCACCACCACTCAACCCGCTGTCTTCCCGATACACAACTCGCCAGAAGCCGTTCACACGATCACCCTCGCAAAATGCGAGATTCTGAATGAAGTCCGTGTCAAATGTCTTCTTCACGGCGCTGTCGCCCGCAGACGCCCGGAGAAGGAATGCTTGGGGTGTCCAGCTGAACGCCGTCATAGTCGCCCGGGCGTAATGAGTCAGGACAGTGGACAAGTCCGTTTTTAGGTCATATGGTATGCTTGATCGGGGTACAGGCTGGGACGCAATTCGCTCGTATGCGAGAATCCATTCGGACTCTTCTGCCTCGACCTCTTGTGGTAGGGTAACTGGTTTTCGAAGAGCAGGTGGTAGTCTATTGGCGCCCTTGTTTCGGTCTCGCAAACGCGTTGATGCCGTGCAGAGTCTCGACACAAGGCGGTTGAGGTACACGAGGTATGTCGCGGAGACGGCCAGGGGTAGGACGGCTATCCCGATTGCCAGTCTCAATCTTGAGAGGCTAACGAGTGTGGTGAACATAAGGGACATGCACTGAAAGTAGAACTTTAGTTGAAAAATTGCTGATGGCTGGAAAAACATGAAGATTGAACGGTGGCTCAATCAAGGTAAAAAGATATAAGACAGGGGTCCACCAAAGGAAAAAGTCGGAGCCCTCCGGTGTAAGCCGGCCTAACTTTCATCGGATCGCCTTGAAAGCCATAAGCGCGAATCGCGAATCTAGGCGCGAATCTAGGAGCGATACGAGTGCCGCTCTCAAAGCCTGGCCTCGAAGATGCAACGGAGCTCTCAAATTTTCATGGGATATAGATGGGTTCCTCTTGGAACCCATCTAGGAACCCATCCTTCAAAGGCCGATGAGGCTCATTGGTACAGTGCGTTATTACTGCATTAATGCCACATTAGGAAATCGACTCAAATATCCAAGAATGATGTTGCACAAGCTCACGCTGTCTCTCAGAACGCTGTCTCAAAACGCTGTCTCAGAACGCTGTCTCAGGACGCTGTCTCAGTCATACCGCATCATCCCAGAACCATTCCGCCGCCAGGGAATTGAGGCAACATAGGGGCCTTTCAAGGCCACCCTCTCTTGGTTACAACGTGTACTTGAACAGCGGGCTCTTGTCTCCCAGCTTGTGCAGCTCGTCCTCGGTGTACTTGGCTCGCACCTGGTCCTCCGTCAAGCGGCCCTTCTTTGCGTTGCCCCACTTATAGCTGAGCTCCAGCAGAAACGCGCACAGCAGGCCCGTGGCGCCAAAGGCCAAGCTCAAGCCAAAGCCGGTCGGGAACTTGGGCTTCTCGGAGTCCAGGTACATATAGGATCCCACAATGCCGCCGATGTTGCCGAAGCATATGTTAAAGGCGACGCCAATGGCGCGACGGTTCGCGGGCGCCAGGTTGTTGGCCGCCCAAGACGAACCGGCCGGTTGAACTGGGTAGATACCCATGCAGGTGAGGATGACAGCAAAGTAGGCAACGCCGAGGTTAGATCCGCCGAGCTCACCGTCGCGGGTCAAAATCACGGCATAGCCGATTGTGATCAGGCCCATGGGGATGGCGACGAAGGGCATGCGCCAGAAGAAGCGGTCCGACAGGTACGAGAAGAAGAGTGCCGAGAGAGCGCCAGCCAGGTACGGTGGCGCCGTCATGAGCTGGGCGTTGGTGTTGCTGAAACCCATGGCCTTGGTAATGGTCGGCAATGTGAACTTGGTGCCGTAAGAGCAAGCCGAGATGCAGAGCAGCTGGTAGGCCTGCATGTAGAGGCGCCAATTGGTCACGACGGCCTTGAGGTCGTGCCATTGGAACTTTTCCTTCTCCTCGCTGAACTTCCCGCCCTGCTTGATGAAGCGCTGGAGCATGAGGAAGCGGATTTCGTCTTCGTCGAGCCATCTGGCCGACCGTTCGGGAGAATCAATCAGCCAGAAGAAGCAGGCCACCCCCAGGGCAAGGGTGACGAGGCCTTCAAGGATGAAGATCCAGCGCCAGCCCTCGTAGCCCCCGACTCCGTCCATCTGGGCAATGGCAGCGGCAAGAAGGCCTGAGAAGGCGCCCGACAGAGCGCTCGTGCAATAGAACCAGGCGATGCGTTGGGCAAGGTCTTTCGGCATGTACCAAAATGTGCAGAGGTAGACAGCACCCGGGTAGAAGCCGGCCCTTTGAAAGTCCAACGATGTCAACATAAGGCCCAAGGAAAGAATGGCGGACATGGGCTGTCCAAGGGCAGCGGACGTACTCAAAAACACCCAGCAGTAGCCGGACAGCCAAGAGACCGCCGAAGTTTTGAACAACGCCGTGAAGTGTCATAATAACACCCCATGACGTGACAAGAATGCCAATGTAGATGGACGGCTTTCCCAGTTTCTTAAGCAGCATGTTGCTGGGAATTTCTGTGGGAAAGCGCGCATTAGACTCGGAGGGAATGGGGGAAATGAATGCCAGAGAAGACAGAGTCTTACCGAGAAGGATGTATGGCACAAAGAAGAGGGACAAAACAATGTTCCACTGGATATTAGTCACTAGAGAGGTGGGAGGGGTTAGCATGAGGTGTCCTAGCCGTGATGGGAGGTCGGTCCGTGGACGTACAGCGGAGGTCCTCTGCCAGTCCCTCGATCTTGGCGTTTCCAATGTTTGCTCTGTCGAGGTGCGAGATCAGGTACAGGATGGCAAGCATGGGTACGAGGCGCATGTCAACCTTGCGTATGATGCGGCGCCGTCGCTCCTCGCTGAAGGCGTTGTAGAACTCGGCATCGTCGTCTGTCAGGCCGAGGACACGGAAGTTGTCGATGACATGGACTGCCGTGGCCTTTTCGGTGTCGTCATGGCCGGACTGAGACTCCGCCATAGTAACTTCGGGCTTTTCGTCTAAGACGGTCATAATTCCGGCAGCGGCAACTGTAGACGATAACTGCAGGTTGGGGGAAGAAACAAGAATTTTAAACAAGGGCTCCTAGGAGGGACAGAGAGCCTGAGTTACTCGGCTGTGGCGGTGTGCCCTTGGGAGAGGAGAGGCGGTGATGACCCATCCTTATACTCCTTCAGAGATCGCGCTCTAGATGACCTGGGTTCAAAGTGGTGTGGTGCCTTCAGTATCTCCAGGTCGATGTCCAAGGGTTGATTCGGCCGTCTCTCCACAAAGTTTCCGGGGCCCCGCATTTCCCATGAGAAAACGGGAAGGGCAAGAGCGCATCCCCAGATTTTCGCGTGATTTGCCGAGCCCACTTTTGCCAGAGCCAATCCGTGGTTAATCCGCTCAGTTCTGATCCAAAAGTTTTTATCGGCCAATGAAGGTGGGGTGTGAGCTACGGTCAGCCCTGGTTGCTTGTTAGCGCGAAACGTACCTACCTGGGCACTGCATTTTCCTTCAATGATGTTCTCCTCTTCCGCTTCCAAGGTATTCTTACCTTACTTTCGAACTTTTTCTTGTGATTTTCTTTTTACATCGTTTTTTCGTCTTTTACCATCCTTGTTTTTTCTTCTTCCCCGAATTCCATCTTCCAGTTGCATCCCTTTAGCGCGTGTGATGTACCGCGCTAACAAATAGCGTAGGGCGGGTTGTACACCCTCTAATCCGTGACAATTTCCGGCTCAATCCATGTGGGAACCCCTCGGCGGGGCGGCTTGTCAACTGCTATGACCATTCCAATTCCGAACATGGAATCCGCACCCTCACAGTTCGCGCGCGCGAACGCAGAATGTGCGATGGACGGGCAATGTACATCGTTCCATTCCACGGAATTGCCACCGATCCCCGCCGTGTCCGTCACCATTGCCGATGGAGCCGGTATCGTCGTCGCACGTTCCGGGCCGCCAAAGCGACGGCGGGTCAGTGAAACCGCCAGGGCCTCATCTCCGTCGACCACATCGGTATCCCCGCCAACGGCCGCTGGTGAGGCAAGACCACTGGCACCGCCAGCCCGACGCAAGGCCAAGGTTAGCCGTGCCTGTGACGAGTGCAAGTCGCGAAAGGCCAAGTGCAGCGGAACCGAGCCGTGTGAGACATGCCACCGGAAGGGGAGAGTATGTCACTACCTGGCCGAGTATTCGCGCGGCCGGCCTCCCACCCCTCCGCCAATGCCTATGCCGGTACCCACGGTCCCCGCAGGCCGCCCTTCCTCGGCACAATCCGGCGGTGGGTTGATGACCAGTATGGTGCCGCCTGGACAATCCCGCCGTCGAACTCGCCCAGTCGCCCCGGAGCTGGCGGAGCAGCACGAGGGGGGCGGGCTGCCACCGGATTGTGGCCGCCAACGGTTACAGGACAGCCGCATCCCATCGTCCAGGGCGTCGCCGGTTCTCGGCGTGGCCGAGATCCAGGGCCAAGTGCACGACCCTACGAGTGGTTTGGCCTTCCTGCACCGCGCTTGGAAGCGCCTCTCACGGGCCAATGGGCCCCTTCCAAGCGAGGGCGGTGCCGGAATGGCACCTCAGGCAGGGAATCTGTCGCTCGACGAGCAGCCCATCTTTGCAGCAGGTGATCGGCCACTTCCGTCCGACGATATCGAAGATGCGGGGGTTGGTGACGGCGCGGATGCTCGGTCATGGTTCCCGAATCCCGCGAGAGCGCGCGAGCTGCTCGCACTTTACTTTGACGTCTGCATAGCCACGTACCGCGTGCTTCACCGGCCGACAGTCGAAAGCTGGCTCAAAGTGGTTGAGAGCAATCTTGCCCAGAGCCGGCCCATCTACAATGGCATCGGGCGGGCCAAGGTAACCATCCTCTTGACGGCGCTTGCCATCGCCACTACACATCACGAGAAGTCCCGGGGCTTTTCTACCGCTGAAGACGAGGCGCAATCTCTGGCCCGTAGTGACCGCCTCTTCTCCGAGGGCGCTCGGCTCACCCGAGAGGAGAAAGGGTTGCCTCGACTAGAGTCGGCGCAGGCTCGGCTTGTCCAGGTGCTGTACTTGCTCACCACCTCGCGTGTAAACCGCGGCTGGTACGTTTTTGGAGAGGCGCTGCAAATCATCAGCGCTCTGGGGCTCCATCGGGCCGTCAGCAGGAAGCTCCAGCTCGCCTCAGGAAACCAGAACGTCGACTATATCCAGTCGCAGTGCCGAAAGCGGACCTTCTGGGCTGCCTACATACTGGACCATTACCTGGGGATCATTCTTGGTCGTCCAAGGCACTACCACGATGAGGACATCGACCAAGATTTTCCGGACGCCATAAATGATGAGGACATGCGAGCGGATGCCTCTTCATCACGCGTCAACAACAACGTCGACAGCCACCTCGAAGCTCTCATTTTCCACGCAAAGTATGTGGTCTTACCATCCAGAGCTCCAGTCTGCCGATGGGACTGACAACCTGTAGGATCGCACAGATTATCGGCAAGATCACGCGCGAAGTTTACACGATCCGGGCCATATCGGAGCAAGAGCGAGTGTCAGCGGCGCACCGACTCTGCGAAGAACTGCACAGCTGGCAGGCGAGCCTGCCCCCACACCTCGGGGCGGTCCGGCCGTCCAGCCTGATCCCCAGCTTTCGGCGGCAGTGTATCGTGCTACGCATCGCCTACTCGCACGCAGTCATGCACGCCAACCGCTTCTTCCTCCTAGGGAATCTCAGCAGCCGCAGCGAGATGCAAGTGGCCGAGTGCGTCATGGCGGCGAAGACGGTGCTCGAGATTGTTGACGGCCTCGCCCGCGACAGTCCCATCTTCCATGCCTTCTGGTGGACGCACTACGTGGCCTTCTGTGCTCTCGTGGTGACATATGCATGGGAGATCCGGCAGCACACCCAGAATGATTCCACGGGCACCAAGTCCCCGCCAGTGGACCGCACGCTCCTGCTCGACTTGGCGGAGCGCTGCCAGACGCACCTGGCGCAAGCCACGGCGACCAACTCGCCCAGCCGCCGGTACGCCATCATCCTCGAGGAACTGCGCTCCGAGGCTCAGTGGCGGTCCGGCCGAGGTAGTGGCATGGCGGCAGGCGGTGCGGGACGCCAACACAACGGTGTCGCGGATCACTCAGCCGGCGTGCCAGGCAACCAGCCAGCTCGACCCTTTGATGTTGAGCACATGGGCGACATGGACGTCCACGAGTTTCAGCCAGCCATGTTCGACGCAGTCGACGGCTTTGGAACACTGCCCGGGAACCCCATCTTTGAGACATGGAACATGACGGACTGGTTGGAGCTGGATTCTTCAGTACGTCCTCCTTTCTGCGCCTGTGTTGAACACTACCTTACTTACATTCTACGTGTTTCCAGGCTTTTGGGCCATATATTAGCTTCGACGAGCCGTCAATTTCATGGCTACCAGGTCCCGTGGCCAGTTAGATGACCCTATGAGAGATTAATAACAAGATACCACCGAGTATAACTCAGCCCTAGTTTGTTAGTGTAGAACCTATGTGATTACAGTTCTCTTTCTTCTTTCACTCTATTCCCTATTCCCTCTCTTTCTCTTTCTCCTCCTCTTCCGCTTCTTCTCTTCTTTTTTCCTTTCCTTTTTTCTTTTTCTTTTCTTCCGTCTTCCTCTTTCTTATCTCCTTCTTCCTCTTTCTATCTATCTTTTATCTTCGTCTTCTTCTCCGCTCTTCTCGTACTATCCATCTTTATCTTCTAACTATATCTAACGTTATCATTTCATCTTCATTCCGTTTTTTTTTCTTCATGTTCCATACTTTCATGGTTTTAATTAATAATGTCTTGGTACGGAGCTAGTGCCCAGCATGTGCCATTGACGCTAACGAACAAACTAGGGCTGGATTATATCGATCCATGTGCATGTGATGCAACCATTTGGCCCTCTATAGGTCTAACATTTTTTCGGTAAATACAACAGCAGCGCCATCTGACTCAAACAGTGAACTTCTGCTTGTTCTCGGCCGCATAGCTTTCCCCAATACGACGAGCTTCCTCCTCGCCAACCTCCTGGAAGATGTCGACCCCCCACCTCTCCTGCGTGTTGAAGCGCTTGTGGCGCTCGAGCGCCGTCAGCTTGCCGAAGACATCATCCGGAAGCTTGCGGACCTTCAGGTTGGACTGGATGCGTGATGGTGTCACGCTTTTGGGCAGGACCACGGTCCCACGCTGAATTCCCCACGAGGCGAGCAGTTGACCGCCGTCGATGCCGGTCTCTCTCGATAGCTCTTGCACCACCGCGTCATCGACGGCCCGGGGCTCGCCAGTCTGGTTGTTTCCAAGGGGGGAGTAGGCAACAACCTGGATGCTCTTGCTTTGGCAAAAAGAGAACAGATCGGGTTGCTGGAGGTACGGGTGCGCCTCGATCTGGTTTACGGCCGGGACGACGGACGTCTTCTGCATCAGGTCCTCGAGCCGCTGCCGGGTGAAGTTGGACACGCCGATGGCCTTGACCTTGCCCGTTTCGAGCAGCTTCTCCATGGCGCGGTACGTCTCGGCCGGGTCTATGTCGACGACGTCGAACTGGCCGTCCTCCCGGAGGGGGAACCACTTGTCGCCTCCTCTGAAAGCCCTGATACACGAACGAGGACAGGTTAACATTCAGATCATTTGGGCCAAAGAGAGAGATTGAGAAACCCACACTGGCCAGTGCATCAGAAATAAGTCCAGGTACTCAACTCCGAGATCGGCCAGAGTCTTGTCAAGGGCTGCCCCAACGTCTGAGGGCGCGTGCTTGGTATTCCAGAGCTTCCCCGTTATGAAGACGTCTTTCCGGTCAACGCCACTCTTTCGGAGGCCCGCGCCGACCCCGGTCTCGTTGCGGTAGATGCTGGCGCAGTCGATGTGCCGGTAGCCACACGCCAAGGCTTCGGCAACGGCTCGTTCTACGACATCGCTCGGGGCTTGCCAGGTGCCGAAGCCGACGGCGGGGATCTTGGCCCCGGTATTGAGGGTGAAGTGGCTGGGAAGTTGGTCCCGAGACATGACTGGATGTAGAGTGTGTAGGGACAGCCAAAAGTTGGTAAAATTCGAAGGCTGAGAACAAGGGGACAGACTGCTTGGAGGACAGGAACAGTGTTAGGGTCTCAAGGGCGTGCGGAGGGACGGAGTGCAGTTATACCGGGTGTTTTCCGTCCTGACGGGTGAATTGCCCGTGTGCTTACCTAAGTCCGCCCCTTTGTGTCCTCACTGCTCCACCTTTGGAAACCCGAAAACCTTCCGGACAAATTTTCGGAAAAAGAAAATGAATCCGTGGTGTGTGGACCCGTATCCCCTGCAAACTGATCCGACCCTTCCTCCCGCACCACATCCGGCTTTCAAGCATCTGCATCCCCACACAGCACACTTCTTCGCGAGCTTGTCTCGCATCTCATAAAGGTGCTGTTCACTAATCCGTGCCGGTACACTGTCACCGATCATGGGGTCCCCGGATTTGTTTCTACCTGGAGCTGGACTCGGACTGTTGGACACCAAGGCGGCAGAAAGGGAGTACGGATACGGTTCGACGGCTCCGCATGCCAGGAGGTTACACCCATACCATGCTGTTGAGGCAGAGCAACGCAATGACTTCAACTGAGGACATGGACTTATACTTCAGCGCCGCCTATTCCGTCCAGAGGATGCACTGAATCCCTCGACTGTTGATGCCACCGTCACTCCTTCTTCTCGCTTCTTGACGGCTCTCATTCACTCACTCAAACATGGCTCCCGCCGCAACAGTGCTCCCACCACTGGTGCACGACGTTGGGTTTGATGTGCCCGCGGCCTCTGGGGCTGTCAACCTTGGGCCAAGGCATGAATTCGACGACGACACCAGCATCCCAACCGTGGGCGAACTCGTCCGCAGACGGGCACTGTCTCATCCAGACCGTGTTATCGTCTCGTATCCATCTTCGGGAATCGACTATGTCGACTACACAATGCGGCAGCTGGACGTGTTCGCCTACCGGGTCGCCGTGGGCTACCAGCGCTTCATCCCAACACGGACATCGTCGGCCGAACGACCAACCGTTGTTGCCCTCTTGGGGCCGTCGGACTTGGACTACATCATCACCATGCTGGCACTCATCAAGCTTGGTCACACCGTGTTGTTCCTCTCAACGCGTATCTCTCCCGCGGCCATTGAATCCCTCATCTCCACCACCGACGCTAAGGTCTTGCTCGCCGCTCCCGCTCACATGGAAGTAGCAAGGGCAACACAACAAATCACCCCAGGACTTGTTGTCGACAAGATCGCACCCCGGTCAGTCTACGAGTTCCCCGTTGAGGTACACGCCGATACCAGACTGGGCCAGACCTTGGAACTATCCACAGAAACCAACAACTTTGTGTACATCATCCACTCGAGTGGTATGTTCCCAAATCAGAGTCCATTCTCGTTACGGTTCATGTTCTCGGCTAAGCTGACCGCTTCGCTCCCAGGCTCCACGGGCCTCCCCAAGCCCATCTATCAGACGCACAAAGCAGCAATAGCCAACTATGCGGTCAGCATGGACATGAAGGCCTTCATCACGCTGCCGCTGTACCACAACCATGGCATCTGCAACTTCTTCCGAGCCGTCTACTCGGGCAAGTCGATACACCTGTACAACGCCTCGCTGCCGCTCACACACGAGTATCTCGTGTCCATCATGACAAGGCACAAGTTTGAAATCTTTTACGGCGTTCCCTATGCTCTAAAACTCCTGGCCGAGTCTGATGAAGGCATCCAAATCCTGCGGTCGCTCAAGATCGTCATGTATGGCGGAAGTGCGTGCCCCGACGAGTTAGGGAACCGGTTGGTTGAGTGCGGCGTGAACCTCGTCGGCCACTACGGAGCGTAAGTCACCCCGCGAGACCAGGAGGAAATACGTCACGACCCTGACACACAAGACTTCCAGAACCGAGGTCGGTCAGCTGATGACCTCGTTCCGGCCGCCCGACGACAAGGCATGGAACTACGTCCGCGAGACCGACAAGCTCAAGCCTTACCTTGAATGGATTCCCCGCGGCCCGAATTTGTTCGAGTGTGCAGTCAAGGAGGGGTGGCCAGCCAAGATCGCGTCCAACCAGCCCGACGGCTCGTACCGCACCAAAGACCTCTTCGAGCCGCACCCGACGATCCCAGGGGCGTGGAAATACATCGCGCGCAGCGACGACACGATCGTGCTCGTCAATGGCGAGAAGTTCAACCCCGTCCAACTCGAGGGCAACGTGCGGTCTGACCGCAACGTGGCCGAGGCCGTCGTCTTCGGCGCGGGGAGGCCCAACCTGGGTATCCTCATCGTACCGGCGTCCGGCCTAGCGCATGCCACGGCTGACGAGGTGCGCGAGCTGGTGTGGCCGGCCGTGCAGCGAGCTCAGGCGGACGCCGAGGCCTACGCGCGCATCTCAAAGGAAATGGTCTGCGTGCTCCCCGCCGACTGCGCCTGCCCGCGCACCGACAAGGGCAGCGTCATCCGCCAGGCCTTCTACAAAATCTTCGCGGCCGAGATCGACGCCGCCTACGACGCTGCTGATAATGGCAGTGGAGAGCTAAAGGCTATGTCGGAGCCTGAACTCCGCGAGTTCCTTCGCGAAGCGCTGGTCCATGTCACGGGGCGGGCGCTGGACGGCGGCGACAGTAAGGAGGCGGTCAGCGACGACACCGACTTCTTCCTCCTGGGGCTTGACTCGCTCCAGGCGCTCCAGCTACGGAGTCTGATCCTGAGATGTGTCGACCTGGGCGGCAAGAGCCTTGGCCAGAACGCTGTCTTTGACTTTCCGTCGATCGACAAGCTCTGCTCACACTTGTTGGCCTTGACTGGCGGTCAGGAAGCCAGTAGTCAAGGCGCGGTCGAGGACGAGATGCGTGTACTCATTGAGAAGATGGGCAACTTTCCCCGGGGCCCCAAGCAATCAGTGGTATGTGGTGGCTCGATATTTCTTCACTTGACTTTGGTACAAATGTCTAACCGGTCCTGCTTACTCCAGGTTGTGACAGGTGCTACGGGCTCATTGGGTGCACATATCGTTTCATGTCTGCTGAGGGATCCGTCCGTCGGCACCGTCTACTGCTTGGTGCGGGCGGCGAGCAACGAAGAGGCATCGCGAAGACTGAAGGAGTCTCTGCTGCAGCGACGGCTCTACCACACCGTACCCGCGTCCTCGGCGCGGCGAGTTGTGGCCCTGAGGAGCGACCTGTCACAACCGATACTGGGCCTCGATGCCATGACCTATCAAACTGTGGCGGAGAAGCTTAGGGCGGTGATCCACTGCGCCTGGTCCGTCAACTTCAACCTCCACCTCTCCAGCTTCGAAAAGACAAACCTCGCCGGAGTCGTCAACCTCATCGCCCTGACTCGGGCGGGCCAGAACGCCACGTTCAATTTTTGCTCCTCGGTCAGCGCCACGGCTCGCTGCCCTCTGCCGGCAGTGCCCGAGACGATCCCCGAGCTGGAGTGGGCCCAAGGCATGGGCTACGCGCAATCCAAGTCTGTGGCCGAGCACCTGTGTGCGCGAGCGGCCCAGCAGGCAGGCGTCCGGACGCGGGTCCTGCGCGTCGGCCAAATCATGGCCGACACGAAGCACGGCGTGTGGAACCACACCGAAGCCATCCCGCTCATGATCCAGAGCGCCATGACTGTCGGCGCCCTGCCAAAACTCCAGGAGACTCCTTCCTGGCTGCCCGTCGACACAGTCGGCCAGGCCGTGGCAGAGATCGCCCTCTCCGACGCCGGCAGCATTGTGGCCAACGTAACCAACCCTAGCACGTTCCACTGGACCGAGGACCTTCTTCCCGCGCTCAAGGCAGCCGGTCTCGAATTTGACGTTGTCGAGCCCAAGGAATGGGTGCGGCGGTTGAGGGCGTCGAACCCGGACCCGCAAGCGAACCCACCCATCAAACTGGTGGACTTCTTCGCTTCCAAGTACGACCGCGACGAGTTTGCCCCATCCAAAGCCTTCGTCACCGACGTCGCACGCAGCCTCTCCCCCGCGCTGGCCGCCGCGCCCGTGCTGAACCAGGACCTCGTCGCCAAGTTCGTCAACTTCTTCCGTACGAGGGTGTGGGCAGTTAGACCCACAACAACAACAGCCGCCCCCGCATGTACCGTTATCGTCATGGCCGGGCCCTGCGGAAGCGGCAAGTCGACTATCGGGCAGGCCGTAGCAACATGGCTTGATGCGCCTTTCATCGAAGGCGACTCGCTGCATGGGCGGGACGCCATCGCGCGCATGGCGGCGGGCGCGCCGCTCACGGACGAAGACCGCGCCGCGTGGCTGCAGCGGACGGCGCGCCACGCGGCCGAGACGGTCGCCGACATGGGATACCCAGCCGTCGTGCTCAGCTGTTCGGCGCTGCGCCGCAAGTACCGGAACGTGCTCCGCGAGGGGATTGCACAGGCCGTCGGCGAGGATATTGTGGTGCGGGTTGTGTTTGTCGATCTGCAGGCTGCGCCGGAAGTGCTTGAGGAGAGAATGCGCCTGCGCCGGGGGCATTACATGGCGCCGGAGATGGTGCCGGGCCAGGTGGCTGCCCACGAGCATGCCGAAGACGACGAGGTGGATGTTCTCCCGGTGGACTGCGAGGGGCCGATTGAGACTGTGGTGGAGGAAGTCAAGTGGCTGATCGGTTGGGTTGCTCCAAGTTGTGTGCCAGCCAGTGCTTGACACACGTTCGCGAAAAACCCGGCCGTTTGAGGGGTTGGGGCAGTTCCAGCTACTATCATGAATAGTTTTACTACGTTATGTATGCTTGTTACGCCAGAATACAGGGTTTCTCACCGATGACACTTCAAAATCAGCTTCGTAGTACCAAACTAGAAGCCTCAGAGGGGTTTGGTCCCGAGTTGCAACCTCAACGTGCTCTTTGGGGGCATTTTTCAACACGGTAGTATCACATGTGAAAGATATTGTATTTGTTTACCTCGGTCAACAGTTGCCACTTGGGAGCACGAGCTTGTAGTACATACATGCGCAAGCCATTGCCACCAAGCCTACCTTACCTTCTTCGTATCGAATGCAACCCCTGAGTTCATAACATAGATAGGATTGCCGAGTCTTTCACCCCAATTCTCCCCGCACATGCAAAGCATGACGGACAATCTGGGGTAAGACCTGCCGTTTCCAGTTATCCGCTCCGTTGGAATCATGGAACCGCATGCGCGAGTCTCGATCGTCAATAATGACGAGTTGTCAAGTAATACCTTACCTCAGTGAGCGGATGACTTCTCGGCACTCGGTCTACAGTGCCGTTCCTCCACCCAACATTCACTGGCACCTGGGCACTCCGGTCCTTGAAAGCCATTCGTCAACGTGGTCACCTGTGACTGCCTTGGTGTGAATGCGTTGCCGAGTGTGAGTGGATCGTAACAGACAACAGGGTGTTATGTAGGTCCGGTCCCTTCATGTGATGGATGGCAAGCGAGGCAAGGTGAGGGGCGGGAAAGGGAGAGAAGAAGGAAGAAGGACTGGGGTGATTAAACGGATGGGTAACGCCACGGCACCTGTTCCAGGAGACAGGATTGCGAAGGCAACGAAAGGCATAAAACCGTGTTCCTCCACCTTCTCCAGACCTCGAATCTCGGCCATACAAAAACACAGCTTAGCCTCCAGCCAGCTCGGTTCAGTCATTACAACGCAAGGCCATCTGTACTCTACCTCCAACCGCCAAAATGCGCTTTTCCACCCTCATCATCATCACAGCTCTTGGAGTTGCGGCCTCTGCCGGCCCCCTATCCAAGCGCCAGACCGAGTGCCCTGAGGCGAGCAACATCCCTGCCTGCGGTGTAAGTCTACAAAGAGGTAGTCGCGAAGAGAGAAAAGACCTGACTCTGAATGGATAATACCAGCTCCCATGCATTCAGTCTGCCGCCACCGCGGTTGGCTGTGCTGTTGACGGCTACGCATGCATGTGCAGCAAGTTTGATGCGCTCCGCCTCGCCGCCGCCCCCTGCGCCGTCTCCAACTGTGGTATGGCCGGTGTCCCGGCCCTGTTAGCTGCTGCTGAGGCTGTCTGTGCGGCTTGTGCTTAGGTTGGATTGAGGCACCAAAAGCTCGGGTTCTCATTGAGAATGTACTTAAGGTCCTCTGAATATGACAGCAGGGGTGTGGGGTGATGGCGGCATAGGCTCAGGTCTGGTGGGATTGAGAGAATGGGCAATACTATTTATTGTTTATGTTGGGTCATCTCCCCACAAGATGAGTACATGAAGAGACACGGAGCTCAAATCTTGGCCACCTCACGGCTCGCAAATCCCTCAAAGTGCTCAAGCGGCAAAATCTCGATAGGAGCCGTGAGGTTGCTCTCCTCCTGCTCGGCCTGCACGAATTTGGCCATCATGGGGCTTGTCTTGTGCACCTCGAAGGCGGCCTCGTCGCTGTACCTGTCATGAAATCAGCCATGTCTGTCGTTGTTTGTGTCTACTAAATCCAGAGAACATACACCTCCCAAACCACAATCTTGGGCTGCTCGGGGGTTCCGCTCCGGAACCACTGGTACTTCAAGGTTCCCGGCTCATTCTGCTGGACATAGGCGGCAGCATCCTTGGCAAGTTGTTCAACCTGGTTTTCCGTTAACATTCATTTTGTCTATGTATAGCCGTGACTTCCAGAAAGAGCGTGATATGTACGTACTCGGGCAACCCGGCCCGGCTTAGGGAGGAGGATGGCAAGGAGGTGGATCGTCATGCTGAATTGAGTGAGAGCTATGTACCGAGAATATACGTTAATTGTGGTGCGGGAACAGAGTTCAATTTGAGCTTCCTGTAAGATTTGTGCCGGTCTGTTGAAATGTGCTCCCCGAGATTGCCGCTCGCTAACGTCGCTGACGCAGACCCGGGAGTCGAGAGGGATGACAAATCAGCGCTCGGGGTCACAATATCTTTGATCCGGACTCCACTTGGGCAGTGGAAAAGGAGGATGACAGAAACTGGCGGAGAAATGTAAGAGGTAACCTAAGCAGCATGATGTCCTCGCGAATCACCCTTGATTCAGTGAGTTTTTGATGTCATCATAAACAAGATTGAAACCAGGGAACAGCATTCTTCAGAGAGTAGCAGCACAGTTTTAGCCAAACAGGTTTTGGGGTCTGCACGGTCGGAAATTCGAAATGCTGTGCGGGCCTAGGTGGATAAGGTACAGTACCTACCCACGTAAGCCCCAGCACGATAGGTACTGTACCTGATTTCAATGAAAATCCTGAGCCGTCGAGATACGAGCAGGATCCTGCGTCACCGATAGGCGCACCAGCCGTCGGTGGGACAGGAGTTGGATGAAGACAATCCTGGCGGTTGGGATGATGAACCCCAGAAAGGCTCATGGTTACTGTAGGTAAGTTCCAAACCGACTTCCACAGTCCAAGGGTGTGACATGCTTGGCAGGCCTGTCGGCCGCCTGTGCGGACTACCTTACCTGTGAATGCCTACCTACCTAAGGTACCTTACACTTCGAACTTCATGCGTTTCCCTAGCGACGGACACCGGGCCATGAGGTTGCATGTCAAATGTCTGACAGAGATTCCACACTTTGCCCGTTGTTCGGTGACAGACAGAACGGACAATCGGAACCTGACAATGAAAGATCTTACGGAAGACAACATCTCGTCTAGTTAGGTAAAGTATTCAGATCGTGCATTAGGTACCTGACATATGGTAGTCACCGCATGAGAGGTACTCGCAGACATCTACGGCAAAAAGGACATGGTGAAAAGCCAATATAACATGCAAACATTTTTCAAACCTTGTAGTATTACATGCCGTAATCACTTCCCACATTCGCACCTTTCATTCCTTAACCCCTGAGCAACTTGGACCCTCTCTCCCACCCTCACCACCAAACCCCCTTAAGGATGCGGCGTAGGCTGACCCGGGCCTTGCGTCTGATAGACCTTATTCCCGAGCAACATCTCTCCGTCCGACGGGCCATCCAAGAGAACCGCCTCCGAATCAAACTCGCGCATCGTCATCGCCAACACCGCCTTCAGCTTGACAAGCGCAAGCTCTGGCCAAGACATTCCGCGGGCCCATGCCAAACGCGCGGGTTGCGGTGCTGGGTGAAGTGGCTGTCGAGCAGCATGAAGACGTGCGTGGGTAAAATCTTGCCGGTCGTTGGGTGGGTGAGGTGGAAGGCGGCGTCGGCGTCCGACTGGGCGCGGATGGAGGCTGCGGGCGGGAACAAACGGAGGGTTTCCTTGAGACGGCCGTTGTGTACGGGAAGTTGGTTGAAGAGATGCGGGAACTCGGCGATGCGATCACGGGCGCGGGAGGGGTCTGGCCGAAGACGGTGGTGTGTTCTTATCGGACCCGGGCGAGGACCCAAGGGTGGCTGTAGAGGAGGTGGTAGGCAAAGGTGAGCGTTGCGGCGGTAGTGTCGTAGCCGGCGAGCATGAGGACTTTGAGTTGAGGACGTCCAGGAAGTGGAAGTTGGTGATGCCGGGTGACTTGGCTGTGCCGTCCTGGGTGGAGGGGAGATGGGACTGAACTGCGAGCAAGATAACCGCCTTGGGACCGGATGAGTCGTTGTCTGGGTTGAGGCGCTTTGCGACACACCGCTCGATGTGCGGCTAGAGTTAATTTCTCATGATGCGGTAGTTGTCCCACATGGCCAACGGGTTGAACCGGGTTGAGAATATAGCGGATGTTCTGCGGCGAGTAGTCCGAGATCAACCATCTCACTTAACCGGAGAGTGTTCGAAAGAACTTGCTGTCGCTTTGTTGCAATCCCATTCTGCTGCCTTGGATTTAAACAATCCTATTAGCCAAGAACAACCGGCATGAGGGCCGAGAGGTTCTTTGCCGAGAAGTCGGGGTTGAATATGCTCCGCCAAGTCTTTCACTCATGTCCTTCTTGGCTCACGACGTCGAGGCACTGTGTGAAAGGCCTGAACTGGTGTCTGAGGTGCTCATGCTCGGGCAGCGACCGGTCATGGGTGAACTGCGAGATCATGTCCGGGTCGAAGACTACAGCCATGGGCGCGAAGATGGGTCAGACGTCGACATAGAGGGCCCCTAGGTCGGAAAGTTCGGGGTACAGTTCCAGCAACCTGGGGAATATGTAATGGCTCGCAGCGCCGGGCGGATACTTTGCCATGACCTTGGCCATGATGGGGAGATGTCCGAAGACGAACGAATGTGGCATGACATCCCGAACACAACAAATCAGAGAAGCCGGAGCCAGTCTCGGAATGTTGCGGGCTGAGCGTTAACTACGATACCATGCATTGCCATGACAGACCTGACCATGGTCCGAACGCGGAAGAGGCGGTGCACGAAGGAGCTCAGAGCAATAAGACCCAGGCCTGCAACGGCTGTGCCGACGAGTTCGACAGAAGGGGCAGCTGCCATAGTGAATTCGATTGGAAAGTTTGTCCAGTACCCGGTGAACCGCGGAAAGTGAAGGGCTTGGTGTTGTTACCTGGTGTACCTACAGATCATGATGGGATGATTTATAGGGCTGTGCCATCTTCTACAAGATCGGCCTTGGGCTTCCAATAGGGGCGCACCCAATAAAGCCCGGCAATAAAGATGATTTACTGTACATCATCTTCCACGCTCGGAAATCCGACGACTCAGGAACACGGCCGTCGACAAGAGGTCTGATCTCAGTTCATTGGTCTACACTCCTTCGAGTCCGATGTAACCCCGTGCCCCTCTGAAACCGGACTAAGGCGCAGCTGATGAGAGTGGAACTTCCAGGTCGGCGCAATTTCCCCGAAGACAGGGCCCCTGACGCGTAATGCCTGATAGGAGGGACGACTCAATCATTCGAAATCTCTTCCAGGTCCAAATCCGGAGAGAAGCCATCACATCTCGTAGTCTCCCGCCACCGCCCCGTCACTGCTTCAGCGATCCAGCGATCAATTCCAGCAAGCATTTTTCACTGCGGCCATTTGAACTCGCAATCGGCCAGTTGGCGGTGATGGCGGATCGCACAGCTCTCGTCACCGGCGCGAGTGGCTACATCGCCTTGCACGTCGTCAAGTCTCTCCTCGACGCAGGCTGGACAGTGCACGCCACGGTCCGCTCTCTTCAGAATGAAGAGAAGATCGGTCCCCTCAGGACACTGTCGGAGCATCATCCCAGCAAGCTGCGACTCTTCGAAGCCGACCTGTTAATCGAAGGGTCGTTCCTCGAGCCGATGCAGGGCTGTTCCGTTGTGCTCCATGTTGCTTCACCGTTTCTGGTTCCTGAAAAAGTCAAGAATGCCGAACATGACCTGGTGCGGCCAGCGGTGGATGGCACTCGGAATGTCCTCGACTGCGTGAACAAGACTGAGGGCGTAAAAAGGGTCGTGTTGACGTCTTCAGGTGCGTATTGATTATCTGATGCAACGGGTATGCTCCATGACTGAGTCCTAAATCTTGGATCTTGCAGTCGCAGCCATGTACGGGGACAATGTTGAGGTTTTGCAAATGGAGAACCAAACGCTGCACGAGCGATACTGGAGTGAGTTCATCTCGTCTTCGTTCCAGTTCATTCATCTGTTGTTCTCTGACCACCTACAATACAGACGTAACCAGCACCGCTCATCACAACGCATACCAATACTCCAAAACCCTGGCTGAAAAGCAGGCGTGGAAGATGGTCGAAGGCCAGAGTCGCTGGGAGCTCGTGGTGCTCTGCCCGGGGCTTGTCCTTGGCCCTTCGCTCAGCCCAGCTTCCGATTCTGGCAGTCTCGCCATCATTGACCAGCTCCTGAGCGGCATCATGCTGGTGGGGGTGCCCGACCTAGCCTTTGCGCTTGTGGATGTGCGAGACGTGGCGACCGCGCACCTCAAGGCGGCCGAGACACCACAGGCCAAGGGGAGATACATTATATCCGAAAACAGGACGACTCCCTTGGTGGAAATATCCAAGTGCTTGAAGCAGTTTCATGATAAGCCGGCGCTTCTGCCGTCATGGAACATGCCTCACCTGTTGTTCCGGCTTCTAGGGCCGCTTATGGGACTGTCTCAGAAATGGTTGTCGGCGAATCTGGGCATTCGGTTTGCCGTGGATAACAGGAGGGCAATGGAGGAGTTGGGCCTGACGTACCGTCCTGCGGAGGAAACACTCCGGGAGCATTACCAGGCATGGAAAGCCCAGCATTAGGAAAGGTCGGTGTCAGTCTCATTCGGCGGCCAAGTAGGTAGGTAAAGTAAGGTATGGTAGGTAGTAATGAGAGATTGTTGATTGAGTCAAGGCTGGCATGCCTCGCCAGACCTCCCACTTTCCGATTGCGATGTCACTCATGTCCGGCAACTCACTACTCCAAGACAAGGAAACTGGAGCTCAGGAGAGAATTCGGCGGTGACATATACATCTCCATCAAACGGCAGGAAAGGAAGCAGGTGAATACAAATCATTATGTGAAGCAAATCTACAAGTCCACCGAAGGCAGTCTACAACAGCTCCAGTCATGTACGGTTATTTACAACACTGTCTCCCCGCTCGACATCCCCGCCCATCGCCAACAAGCCTCCTACAACATCTTCTACACCTCTGGATCACGCCTGACTTCGGCCGGCGGCGCCTCATGCTTTCCGACAAAGTACCCCTTTTCCCATAAAACTCAGGCCCGACGCTGATGGCGGCCAGATCCCTCCCGGCGTCCGCCGTCGTTCGCACAACGCGGTCAGGTGCCTCAGCAGCGGCATCATGATGTTGACGACGCTCATGAGCCGCCGGACGGCGACGCGCTGCTCCAAATTCGCCCTCGTCCGACCAGGTCACTGGGTCCATGCGGTTACTATGATGCGGGAAAGTCCGGGGTCCTGTTCGATCAGAGCTTAGCCGCTTTTCTACTCTCCGCGATTCAGCTTCCGGCTGGGGAAGGCACTTTGTCAGAAAGGTAAGGTAAGAAACTCACCGCTCGCAACCTCCTGTTCAGATTATGCATGAACACGACATTAGCTATCTTGGCCGTGCTATAGCGTTGGAAGCCCTTGTCATGCACCTCGTCGGGCTTGTCCGGCGGCGGGTGCACGAGATGCTCCAGATCGCCCGGGAAGCCGGCCCTCAGCTTGGCGAGCGGGTTCTCCCTTTCCGAGTAGTGCGCCACAGAGCCGAGCATGACGATGCGCCCGACCTCGGGGTCCATGCAACCGAGAAGCTGAGGACGAGCAGCATGTGGGGGAGGTGAGACACCTGAAAGGTGGCTTCGTAGCCATCTGAGGTCCGCTTCTCGCCGCTGAGTGACCAGGTGAAGACATTGCAGACGATAGCCGAGATCAGGGGCCGTTCACCGTCCGAAATGTTGGTTGAGATAACATCTGCGAAGGAGCGAACGCTTGCGATGCTCCCAAGGTCCAGGCTTTCGATGAGAATGCGGCTTTCGGGGTGCTTGGAGACAACTATCTGGAGGCTTATCATGTTTGTATCTGCCTCGGCCGACGCGTTTCGCACGGTTGCGACCAAGGTGTGCGTGGGATACTGAGCGGGCACGGCTTGCACGAAGCCGAGACCCAGTGAGCCATTTGCACCCGTGATGATGATGGTGCCTGCCATTGCTTGGATGAAGACGCAGATGAGGGTACAAAGATCCTGAAAGTCTCACCGAGGCAATCATTGATGCGGTCCGTTAATAAGATCTTCATGTTTTGTTCCTCCCTGACCTACTTATACTACAAGCTATCATCCTGAAGTTGAAAGCAACACTGCATTGTACCCCTTTCCGGAATTTACACCTTCCAATCGGTGAAATAAATTCCAGCCAAGAACATCAAGCATCCATCCAGCGACAACATCCATGGCTCATCTTCAAGATGTCGGAGTCCCAGATGGTGTTTCGGTCGTCTAAGTCTTCCAAGGGAGTTGTAGTATCATGGGTCAGGTCGTTTGCATAATATTATTATTATTCCTACACCGCTGTGCCCTTGGGCTTGCCGGACCTTCAACAACTTACTATACAGGAAAACCGCGCCCTCGTGGGCCGGGTGAAAAACCCATACTCCGTATGTACATACCGTATTTTTAGCCCTGTTAGGTTAGGGTTGCTTGGCTCTTCCGGAATTCCGACATGACCCGTTGGGGCACAACGTTTCAACGTCCGACCTGAGCCCGAATTCATCGCTCGCCGCGTTGGGCGTCGTCTCGTTGACCACCTGCAGCCCAACTCACCCAACGCTTGAACAGCACTTTCGGTCACAGTTGTATACCGGTACCCACCTTAGTCGCGCCTCGGCCCCTTACGCAATCGGCCGCCGCTCGCCATGGAGCCGCTGTCATGCAGTAGCTGCAGCAGAACTTTCCCATCAGGTATGGATCATGGACGGAAACCCACTTCATTGTGGTCTAGGTACATTATCGAGGCCAACGAGATGGCTGATGTCCGTTTCAAATAGTGCCGACTTTAGAGCGTCATCGTCTGCGGTGCCGATTCCGCCCTACGAGCCGGCGAAAGGCATGTGCCGAGTGTTCGCGATCCAAAGTTCGCTGCGACCAGGCACTGCCAAGCTGCTCGAGATGTGTCGTCCACTCCTTGGTGTGCGTATACCCTCACCTCGAGGGGCTCCGCGTCACGCCGAATGGACCGCACCCTGTCTCGTCGGGTTCGCTTGTGACTGTCCCACTTACTCCATCTCCGAGCTCGCCGCACTCACAGCAGTGGGCGCCACCCGATCGGGAAGGGCCTCTGGGTGGCCGCCCACCTGCAGATTTCCTTCCCGTCCCAGCGTGGCCTCCAGGCGCAGAAGCAGAGTGGCAGGCTGGTGCTCTCCCCTTATTCGAGGGGAACTTCGACTGCCCTGACCTCTCCCTAGGTCTCGGAGGACTCGACGAAACCATCAACTTGGACAGCAATCCTCGCTTTGCGCAAGCCCGAGAACCATGTCACTTTCAGGATTTGTCCTCGTACCTGAGCGAGAAATGGAAAACTACCCAACAGGGACTCGATTTCATCGACAGCGTACTCAAGGTCAATGTGGACAACTTCGTCACTGGGTTACAGAAGCCCTTTTTTGTTCACTTTCAGGACTGGGACGTTGCCCAGAGACCCGCGGCTCTCACCGAAGCCGTGACGGTAGGCCAGCTCTACATGTACGCCACGCGGACTGTACAATCCGACGCTGTCCTCCTCCGAGCCATCGATGCGCAGCTGGGCCAATTCCAACTCAAGGTAGCCCCCGACCCGTCAGGGCACTAGATGTACAGATGCCAGTGACAAATATGCTGACATTTGGATGATACACGTTATAATAGGTTACAGCAATGCAAAGTGAGCGTGACGAGATCTCGATGCTTCAGGCTGTGCTGTTGTATGCATGCATGCGAGTATACCGCGCCGGCCCCATCGCCTCAGAGTGTATAGACAGGATCCCTTTGAGGTTGATGCAGGTATGCCTGCACCAGCTTACAGCGTTTCCTCTTTCTCTCCCTTCAATAATTGACTCGCATATTCTCCCTGCAGCACGTCCTCAGCAAAAACCTCCCCTGCATGACCCTCCCCACCAACCCGCTTCCCACGGCCTGGCAGGACTGGATCGCCATCGAATCCATCCACCGAGCCTTCTTCACCCTGCACGCGCTCGATTACGTCACCCAGGCGCGCCAGTCGGCCCCTACGGCACTGTGCTCCTTCTACCCTACCGCGCCCCTTCCGCTGCCGACACACATCTGGGAGGCGCCGACTGCCGACGAGTGGGCGGCCCGGTACCGCGCTTGGGAGAAGTACTGCGACGCTCAGGGCCCGCTGAGGGGGAGGGATGTGCTGTCCTGGGTGCAGGGGAAGGAGTCGGGGGCGGAGGAGAAGCTGAGGGCGTGGTTTCTGGGAATAGAGGACGAGCTGGGTGGGTTGGTGTTTGAGTGCGCGAGGGCTCAGGGGAAGACGGAGGGTGCGGGTGCGCTGGTTTGACACAAACAGGGTTCTCACCTAGAAACGGCCACCTGAGAAGTCGAAGCAAAGACGCTTGTCAGCTAGACACTGACGACCGGGATAGGGCACCCGTCTTCTGACCGGGAAAAATAGGCATGGCTCCCTTTGACGGTAACTTGACCGAAGAGCTGGGGAATGTGGTGAGTGGAATCATCCCAAAAGCCTGGAGGAGCGGACATCACGGATGGTCGGGATGGAGTTGAGCCGTTGAGGTCGCTTTTCCGTTGTTGTTTCCCCTTCCTCGGCATGACCAATAAAACAGTCCCCGGGTTTGGTAACACCGCAAGTACTTACCGCGAGAGACCATGCAGCAGAGAATCCAAAATTTGCTTAAGCCGAAACCACATGGATTTGTTTAGCGGCGTTCGGGGTGTGCGATGTTTACCTACGGATAGATATAAAGTGCCCTGACTGTGGTGTCTCAAAGGTGGCATCATAAGTCAATCGCTGGTGGAGGACTACATACTGTACATAAGGTATCTGGTTATCACCTCAGGTCCCTTACTTTGACCCAGTGTTGCCATGTTGGCCAGACAATTTCGGTCATTATTAGGTCATCGGCTGCATTCCTTCACAGCCTTATATTCCGTCGCATCCGCTCATCATTCGCAAACCACGACAACCATAGCTTGACAAGACAATGTGAGTGTGCCTCTCTGCCCCCGCATTCCATTCGAATTCTAGCTGCGCGGCGGTTTCAGGCCCGGCCACCCTTATGAGACTACCCTTGGAGCTCCGTCAGCACATAAATCGGTTCTGCAACATCCCCCAGGGCCTTGTCTTCACTTGCTCCCACAGCATGCATATACAACACCGCCCCGTAGGGTTGCCCAGTGGTATGCCTCGCCCCTCCCTTTTCCTTTGCGACTTTCTGCAGGTTTCTCGGACGTGTACTGTCAACACTGTGCTCCCCCAGGTTCCGTCGCATCTGCGAAGTGCGTTTCCCGGAATTCCCCTCATTTGCAAACAGACTACCGAGGAGGTAAGTGATGCTTTATGGGAAGACACGTTCAAGGTCTTTCCGCACCGTGGCCTTACGATGCTGAGTCCCAGGCAGAGGCTGATGATGCGGAACGCAATCTTAGTCTTGAGAGCAAAGGACCTTGCCTACCACTCTGACTTCCGCATGGACACGAAGGATTGGGAGTACGCCTTCACGGGGGCCAACTGCTCACGGATCATTGCCGAGCACCCGAGCACCCGCTGGTCCTTCATTTCCCAACGGGCATGCCTGGGACTCATCCGGATGACCCCGAAGACGACCAGACCATAGCGCCGTGGAAACGGGCGGAATGGGAGGAGTGGCTGCGAGAAATTTTGAAGCACCTGAGCAGCACGATCCCTGGCACTACCGATGTGTTGGTAGATGCCAACAACGAAGAAGAGACGGTCCGGATTGTGGAAGCGGTTTTGCCAAAGCGCTGCCAGTTCGTCAGCTGCCGGACGGCAACTTTGTTCTTTTTTGAAAGGGAACGCGTGGAGGGCGCCAGCATACTGGGAGGAGGACGGATATCCGACGCCGACTGTCCGCTATAACTTGAAGACACTGAAGAACCCTTTCTTCCCGCGCGGGGAGCTGGGAATGAATGGTGGTCGGATTAGATTCGATTGAAGCTGAATGAACGTCTCGGGCGACATATGAGCCTTCAGCTTGTGGGTAGTAGACACAGCGTTACGGTACCTTACGAATCATGAAGCCTTTGCTGACTGGGGATTTCCGAGTCTGACATTAGTATGGTTCAGCTCACAGGCATTCCTGTTAAACGTAGTGGCTATTATACCAGAACTGCCAGGCGCTCTTTGCTGGCTCAGCGTCGCTGAGCGACCCGATACCCGTGTTCTTGCCCCGTACATACCGCTTTAACAACTCGCTTAGTTCCGTATCGTTTGCGCCAGCCACTGCTTGCCCTGTACTTCAATACGGCGACGTGTCTCCTCGGCCCATCGCCCGGGGTATATGCCGCTTGCACGTGGAACCCCGCCAGACCGTCGTTCCTTGCCGCGGGCTTTAACGGAGTCATGATGCGTGCGTACCCTTTCAGGATGTTGGCCCCCTTCCGTTCCGCGGGACCGCCGCGGCCGCACGGTTTGCGGACCGCGTCGGCCATGACGAAACGGTGGTAAGCGCACGCAGACTGATCTTGCCCCGAATCCGCCCGATGGTGTCGCCCCATTCCACCAGCTCGTCGCGGTCGTTTTGCGGCCACACGTAGTGGACGTAGGGCGGAACCACTAGCTGGATGAAGCGGAGGTGAGCGAGGCGGTAGTCGGGAACAATGTCATCAAGGAATTTTGAAGCAGCGAAGCGGCCGTATAGGTAATCATGTTCTGAGTACTTCCCTGCGGCAACGACGTCGCTCAGTTTCCCGCATCAAAGTTGGACAGGGGTAAGTCCCAGGGCCACGTCGCGTGGAAATTGTGGACAATGAAACAGTTGCTCGAGAAGACAAACTGAGCATCCCGGCACAGGGACCGGCAGATGAGGAACGAGTCCGTCGGTGGACCCGAGCAGTTGCAGCTGAGGGAGCAGGCGGCATACCGACGGCGGCGGAAGCAGCCGGGGGGATGACGCACCACGTCGTTTCGGAGTCGGAATTGTCCGAGCGGCGAAGGCATCGCGCCAGTCGGCAACCATGGTGGATATAGGGCGGGCAGGAGTGGTTGTCAAGGTCGCCGTGGCCGGGGGGCCGGCACAAGTAATAGCCGTGTTCCTGTCTGCTCCATGTGACCTCTTTCCACGGGGTCACCAAATCGGTATAACCGAGAATCCCGTGGTGTAGCTGGGCCGTTGGGTCCAGAAAGCTGACGACTTTGTTGGAACTGTAAGGCCTGGAGTATGGGGAGGAAGCACCAGCCACGCCACTGCGGGCTTGGATGACGGCCTTTTCGGCAAGCTGTTGAAGTGAACGGTTTCAAACATTTGAAAGCCGTATATGGCAGTCTTTGAGTCGTGGGAGGAGGGCGATCGGGGCACGGCAAGCCGGGCTGTTTGTTCTGCATACTGGTACTCGGAGTTTATGTCGTAAATCAACGAGAGCTCAGGACGTCCAATGGTAACATGGGCGGATATGTAAGCCACGGTATCCTGCCACTCGCTCCGAGTCAGGATCGCTTGGACTGCAGGACTCCCAGTCACCGGGGCTCCGCCCTCGGCAGCATCGAGCAATGGGCGGCGGTGCATGTTGACACAAAGGCTGCATTGGTGGGCTGGTGGCAGGAGGACTCGTCGAGAAACACCTTCCGCCATGTCAAGGAAGCGATCGAGACGGGCGGCAGCGCACGAAGAGGCTCGAGTGAGTCCGGGCCCGAGTAGTGCACGACGAATCGGTTGGCCGAATACAGAAGGCAGTAATTTCGGTGTACAAGGCGCGGCACGACCGCATCAAAGCCCAGAAGTTGTATGCTGGCGGCGGGTCATGGTGGGGGAAGACGCGGCGCGGTTCTCTTCGGCCGTTCAGGTAGTACATGTGCGGGCATCTGCCCAAGCGAGCCAAGCCTGCGTAGATGTATATGCGACAACGAACCTGAGGTGGGAGGCCCGCCAGACTAGATGGTTGGGACGGCAGCATTTCGACGCCTGGCACCATTGTTAGATGTTGCTAGAAAAGAGGAGAGGAAGAGAACTGCTCGCTGCCTGGTTGACCGGGCGGTTGCTTGCCAGGCAAGCAACCGCCCGGCAAGCCTTGCCTAGGACACTGCAGTTCCCCAATTGGCTGCAAGGTCCCGCGGCAGCCAAACCTTTATCCGCAACTGACCATTCAGCAAAACAAGGCCGGCGTCTTCACCCAAGTGTCAGGTCCGATACGTGGCAGCGTCGTCAACACGGGGTTTCCAGGGGGTTCCAGCGGAACTGACGCCACGTGGAAGATGTGCCTTCGGAGAAAGCAATGGTAAGAACGTTTTCCTTGTAGTTTAGTTATTCAATGTTCGAATACCGTACATTCAAGCTCCAGACAAGCTCTTCAGGTATTCCGCCGCCAGCACCGTTCACTGAGTTGACTGCAACAACCTCTCCCTGCTCTCCTCCACGTACTCCCTCAGACCGGTGAGTCTAATCCCGCGCTGATGATTCACCGTCCGTTCCTTGTCCCACGACACGCCAATCCCGGTGCCGAACGCATTCTGATACTTCACCATGAGATCCTCTGGCTGCTCCTCCAACTTCCTTCTCAGAAACTTCCGGTCCCACTTCTCCCTCTTCCACTCACCACCATAAACCGCCTCTATCACATTCGCCACCTCCCAATACGACACCGTATCCCCAGCCACATACACCACCTTCCCTCCCGTGTCCCCTGGGTTGAACATCAGCTCGGCGACCACCTTGCCAATGCCATGCACATCCGTCACCGTGACTTTATTTTCCCAGTCTCCCAACCCTCTCAGCACCCGCTCCTTCAAGTCCACTGCCCCAAACCCCTTCAAAAACAAAAAACTCATAAACAACCCGGTCGACACCACAGTCCACTCCGTGCCGTCTTGCTCCCTCAACAGCTTCCTGACAGCGAGCATCTCGCCAAACAACTCTTCATGCCCGCTCCCTAGCAACCCCCGGCTCCCTTGCAACCCCCCGCGATCATCCTCGCCAGCGTCGGCGACAGCCTGGTAATCAATCCCAAACTGCCAGGGGAAAAACCGCTTCACGCCCGCCTTGACCACTGCCTCAGCTACGCGGAGCAGTGTGCCCTTGGGGGTGCCGTACCCCGCCGCTTGGATGACAACGTCGTACTTTTTGAAAATTGAGATGAGGTCGTCGAGAGGGGAGGAGATGAAGTCGCCCCCTTCGAGAACTATGCCCTGGGATGACAGGCGACCGAGCTCAGATTGTGTGTTTGGGTCCGGGGAGGCCAAGGTTGATGCGCGGCGGAGGACGGCGAGGGTGGTTTGGGAGGGGTCATAGTTTGGGTAAGAGGTTAGGGAAGAGAGGATGGCAGTGCCAAGTTCGCCGGCGCCAATGATCAAGATGGATGTTGGGGCCGTCATTGTTAGTGGGGAAGGGGGGGGGGAGGGGAGGCACAAAGCGGTATAAAATGCTGAAATCGACGATCGAGAAGCTGGCCAAAGTGGAAGAGCGGAGAGTCTGGTGAATGTCTATGGATCCGTATTTAGCTCCAATAATCATTCCTGACTCCCTAAGGCTGCTTTATCAGTCTTGGTGGGTTGAGGAGAGGATCGTCATGGTTATTGGCATAGATATCTTGCAATGCTGACAAATTCACCAACTCTGAGGACGAGCCACGCCCTCGTCTCGGCCTTAAGAAGTCAACCCCGAGTAAACGCCGATTCCAGAATCTTCACCTCATACTGAGCTATTCGCGACCTGGATGAGATACCACGCTTGTGTAGTTAAAACTCCCGATCATGGTCTGTCAAGGATGTTGTGGAAGTGGCTGAACACGACGCACGGAAGTTCACGTCGTAGTGTCGCCGAGATGCACCCCATCTTACACCAAAAACCCATATCAAGATTCAAAAACTCCGCATGGCGCAAGCGCGAATCCACTAACACCCAATCTGAAATTGTAGCTGCCTCCTAAGGCCAACTTTTTTCCTTCTTTTGGCGATATGCCCCCTCGGAGACTAAAACCCAGCATACGTGAATTGTATTGTACGATCCCTGCTTGAACACTCATCCAGCAGTCGACTTTTCAATCCAGGGGCTTGACCATGATATGTCCCGTAGTCGCAATCCAATGTTCACCCCAGCAACCCAGCGGCAACCCAGAGCCCCAAAAGGGTCAACCCAGCGTCCATTCCCCCACTTGATCCCCAAGCCAACGCCCCTGAGTTTCCCGTTGCCGACGCAGAAGCCGAGCTGCTCGTAGCCGTCGGAACCGCAGTCAAAGTCTGCGTCGCCCGCGTGGTGCTCCCCGTGGGGCTCGTGCCGGGGCAGTACTCGGTTGCAGTGGCCTTGATATAGCTCTGAAATCTGTCAGGCGGCGTCTGGCCGTAGATGCAGTCGTGATACTGGCAGTCGCCCGAGATGGTGTCGAAGAAGGCCGACTGGCAGGTAGGGTCGTTGTCGCAGTATGCGACGCATTCTTCGTACTTTTTGAAACGGGGATATGCGGCAGCTGTTGTGCTGAGGAGGGCCGCCAGGGCGGCGAAATGGACTGGTTTCATGGCTCTTATTGCTCTGGTAAGACGGGCCGCTGTGGGATAAGGACTGGAAGAATCCCCATGATGAGGGTTCCGGAGGTCGAGAACTTTTTGAGGTTCGAAACAATGGCAGTTGAGAGTTAGTGCAAGCTCAACTAATTTCGCTAAGCATTTTGGTCTGATGCTAAGATCTTTTGTCCTGCGCGAAGCTTTTTGCCTCCGGCTTATATGTTACCCATGTGCTCGAAGGGTTGCATTCGTTTCCAACAGAACTCTTAGCGCTGAAGCTGAGCTCAGGCACCACCACTAGCACCACTTCCCATATCCGCCGTCATGCGTGCTTGTGAACATTGACCCTCGAAGACGAGTTCCTTTGGAAATGACCCCGGTTCCTTGATGGATGTAGCAAGTCCGAATTGGAACACCGAATTGCCCGTACTAAACTGATTAATGGAATGGGTTCTTCACCAGCAAAAGGGAAGCTCTGTGACAACTCGCCCAAGTTTCGATGTGTCCCCAAAGGCCCAGCTGTAATGGCTTGATAGAGTTTCTACCTCAACTGGCACGCGGAGAAGCAAGTAGATAACCCAACCCGTCACGGTGAGCTGCCGCCCCGAAAAGGAGACCGCCACGAAAAACCACGGATTTGGCTGCACCGGAAGGTTGGACCACAGCAACTAGCCATCGTCTTGCCCATCGCTTTCTTCCTCCCCCTCGTCCTCAGCTTGGTCATCGTCATCCTCCTCCTCTGAATCTTCTGCACAGCCAATTAGCCATCCATTGCCATCATAAGAGACGGGGCATAGTTACGTACCATCCATGGCGTCAGGATCCGGCTCCTGTGGCCACTGCGCAGTCATAGCTTCGATGGCCTGCGCAATGGCCTTGGCCAAGCTGACCTGGTTCGTCGAGCATGTCCAGGTGGTCGAGTGCGAGCGCATATTTTCATCTTTGAACGTTACTGCTCCCTTCCACCCCATGCACGAGTGCGTCACCGAGCTCAGATCTATGACTCGGAGTTTAAGGTCAGGCAGCCTCGCGATAACGGACAGGCACTTCTCCCAGGGATTGATCTTTTTGGGGTTCAGCACCACGTCGTTATCCTTGTCGTACAAATCCACTCTCCGTAGGTACAACGAGGTCAGCGTGGGAGCGAACTTAGCAACCAGACCGATGAGCACGGGCGTCTCGGTTGTGGCACTCCCCAGGTCCAGGCGCTCAAGATGTTGCAACTGGACTGGACGCATGTCGAAAGAGACCGCTGTATCGTGCGAGTCTTTGCGGGCGAGCCATTGAAGGAGGTGCTGGACGTCGGCCATGTCGGTGCGGCTGAAATTCAAGCGCAGCCAAGTCAGGTTGAATGCTAGCGACAGGAACCGTTGAATCATAAACGGCCTCATGCGTGTTGCGCGGTTGGTCAAGCCAAGTGTGAGATGAAGGGACTGTAACCCTGCGAGGAGAGTCGACATGGATGTTTCGATACGAGGCAGAACGTAGAAGGCTGCATCGTCAAGTCCGAATGGAGCCCATGTCCCTGTCCTCAAGAGCACCTCGAGGCTCCTCGGGCGCGCTTCTGCTGCAGCAAGGGCAGCGGTGACGGCAGAGAAAAGCTGGGTAGGGTAATTGTCGTCTCGCGGGCCCTGTCTCGAAGCCACGACAGGGGCTTCGGTTGCGGCCGCGAGGGTGACGGCGCCGTAGCTTCTCCATTGGGTGCCTGAACCGTCGCGATTGCGACTGGGGGAGTTGAAGTCGCGGACATCGACCGTCTCGAGGTTGACCAGGTTGGTGAATGCGTCGGCAAGCATGTCTCGCAACCCCCCTGTGGCCAGCAGGCTTGAGTGGTCGGCCAAGGCGAGCTCAAGGCGCACCCTGGCCTCGTCGCTTATCCCCGGCAACCAGCTGCTCGATGGACGGTCGGTGCTGATGATGACGTGTTTCAGGCAAGGAGACAAAGTCGAATGCTTGGAAATATCGACTAGCGCCTGCAGGCTTTCGGTCGTCACCATGAACTGCTTCTTGCGGAAAAATTCGTGCGAGAAGAAGTTGAAGAGACTCTGTTCCAAAGACTTGCAGCTAAGTCGCACATTTCCAAGATCGACTGTCGAGATGAAGTAAGTGATCCGGATAAGGATCTCGAGGGGGATTTGGACTAGGTGAGAGTTGACCTGGGGATTGACCGTGGTCATTGTTATGGGTGTGTCTGGCATGATTGCTGCACTGCACCGATTGTCGAGTGAAATGAGAATTTGAGCTTGGAAGGTTGAAAATATACTTTCTTTCTTTCGCCGGAGTTTTTATGTTGGAGAAAGCACCTCAGTGTGTTGTTGCTTGGTTGGTAACTTCGGTTCTAGGTGGTGCTGCTGCCTGCGAATGTCCAGCCCATGCGGCCCGTGCATCCAGGCAACATGCTGGTGAGTGGAGTGAGCATGAGCGATTCCACCGCCAAAACTCTCGACAGCACATTGACAAAGACTTTAAGATTTCTGGCTGAACATTAAGCGCCTCAAAAATATGCCCAAGTTGCTTGTGTGCCAACTCTTCAATGTGTACCGTGCGGCCCGCGAGTCTTGGATTTATCGATCTTCAAGCCAGGAACCATCTTCCAATTGCTCGCCAATGCGCCGACTGGTGACACGAATTCAAGCCCGAGGCCATTTGTCAATACCAAAGAAAGAAGTATCTACTGAACCTGGCGCTTCCGGTCAAGGATCTCCTTGGCCACCTTGCCGGTGGCCTCGACAATCAGCTCATGCTCGTAAGAATGTATTCTCTCCTCGAGCTGGTGCAAATCCTCGCCCTCGCGGCATTCGATCTCCTTGATCAGAATCGGCTCACCCCGGTCGACCTTGTCAATGACATAGTGAACCATGATTCCTGTCCTGTTGTTCTCGAGCTTGCCGGCTTTGAAATCCTCAAACGCACGCTCGATCGCACCAGCACCGTCGTATTTTCCTGAGAACGGTTAATCAGACAGGTCAGAACTCGAAACAGGATGTCGGAGCATAATGAAACCGTACCTGGCAATGCGGGGTGCAGGTTGATAATCTTGATGCCAGCCACATCAATCGGGTCGAGGAAGTGCTTGCCAAAGACATACATCCACCCGGCAAGAACCACGAGGTCGGGCCTCAAGTCACCCTGCAGGAGCTTCTCGGCCAGCGCCGCGTCGTACCTGTCCCGGGCTTCTTGCACCTTTAGCGCGTCTCTCTCGCCCTTCGCCTGGAACCCGTGCGAAATCAGGTTGAAGTACTCCCAGGGGATGCCAGCTATGTCCGCCCGTGTTGTCGCGTAAGCTCTCCCCCGGTTGACAATGAGGCGCATAATCTTAGAGTTGGGAATCCGGCCGGAGGCAACAGCATCGATCAGCGCTTGGAAATTGGACCCATTTCCGCTGGCCATAACCACGATCCGACATGGGTCCGCCATGATCACTATGCGATGTGGTTTGTGTTTGGCGTGGGGGACGAGAATCGAAGCCGCAGGCGATTGGCAGATTCGTGGGACCCGATCACTGGACTGGCCTCCAGGGTCAGAGTCTATCAATAAATTGCTCTACCGTTGCCCAAAGCAGAGCAGACGGGGTCGGATGAGAAGGTGAGAGTCTGTGCCAGTTCGGGTGTGATGCGTCAATTTGCCGTTGCACAACCGAAAATGTTTATGGTGGAGATGGAACTCTGAAAGGAGGGTTAGGGTCCTGGATTTACAGTTTCCAAGCAGAGTCTTCCTTCGATGCACACCTCAACGGGTACGGAGTAGAGGGACCGACGGATAGGGACCAGATTAGAGAACTGCTTTTTCGAGGTGTCATTGCAGGGGTTTGACGCCCAAGCAGACACAGGCACAGAGCGGCGTGCTATGCTACCTTAGTTTATTGACTCGTAGAGATCTCAATCTCTTCAGCAGGGGAGCACACTGCAGAGTTTGGCCACTGCGCATCTGGACTTCAAAGAGTTCCAGCTTGAGTTCCTCGAGTTTGGAGCCATGTGCTGTGGCTGGTGTTCTTGAATGCGGAGGATGTGTCCGAGCGAGGACTCGGCGTGGTTGTGTCTGATTCGCTCGAGCGGCGGTGTTGCAAAAGGACTTGCGCCTGACGGGCACCAATCTCCCCGCATGGATTGGCGCATCCATCAAAAGTAAGGTATTGCAGAGAGCAATTCAACCGCTCAGGACACTTCGATTGACGCCGCTCGTATAAGTACGGCAATAAAAAGGAGAGCGCTACGAATACAAGGCAGATCGAATCATGGCGAAAGGTTGAAAGTCAAGACAATGACAAGATGGTAGGATGACGCGCACAGTGTTCTTGGCCAGACAATTTGGGCAGCCACTGCGAAGCTTGAATTCACTTATCAGGTGGTTTAGGCTTCACTTAACGGGGCGCATCGCTGACCCCACGGGGCTGAAGAATGCTCAACGCTGAGTGGCTCCCCAGCACCTCCACATGAAGTGGCCTTTTAGCCATTGGCCAACGACAGCCTTCAGTTCTATTTTTGATGGAAACCTCAGGGGTATTCATCAAAGAAGTCCCACATGGGACGCGAAAAGGATTCAACCGTAACACCGGGAGTGGAATCGCGCCTCTGAACTCCTGTCCAGTGTCGTGCGGCTCATTTCACCGCGTCTTGCGGGCTGGATGCCCTATTGTGTTAAACACGATTCACTCATGTGAGCAGCACAACCATTTGGCCAATTTGGGGAAGAAGCGACGCGCGTTTTAAGGCGAAGCTTCGTAAGGCCCGAACTTGACCTTCTCAAAATGTCTTCAGCAGGGTTTATCTTATTCGTGGAAAGGCGGCAACAGAGGCAGTCTGGGCTGCTGCTGGACCCCCTGTCCCCACACCCCTGACCTGACCGGGCCGTCAGCTCATCGGGGGATGCTTAGCCACGATGGGATGTTCTCCGGAGCGAGCGCATGTCCCGGTCAGCTTTTCTCCCCTCTCCGCCGATCTTGCGCCGCGTGAACAAAACTTCTTTCCCTCCTGTCCCACGTTAATCGGCGTCGAGTCGCACGTCGATGACAACCCGACTCTACAAGAATTTGACAATCCAACCACACGGTTAGCCTCAATTCGCAAGTGATCTGGATTGCCGCCGCACACACGGGGAAACCAGCCGTGAGACCAGTCGCCGTCATGCGGTCGTGCCTGTGGCTCTTGGCCACATCCGCCCATTTTGCCAGCGCCGACTGGCCATTTGGGCAGCTAATGGGCTTTCCTGGAAGGGAAGCTGCGATAATCCTACCGAGGCAAACGGAGGCATCAACTCACGACGGCGCAATTGGGTGGTCACCGAGGCCGACTGATGGGCCTTCGTTGGAGCTAGCGCGGAGGAGACGGGATGGGGTGAGATTGAGGAGACAGGACGATACTACCAACACCTGGGTGGACGAGACGACATGCGGCTGGGTCGCCGGGGAGGATTGTGAGTCTAGACTCTGCCGACCTCGCGCTTTTGCCTCCCTTTCTGAACTCACCTGCTAAAAGAACCTCTTAGCATGGCCATATACCTGTTCAAAAGGGTACAAATGCGACACGAACACGGACCAAGTTGTCGCTTGTACCTCGCGTGGCTTATCCACAAATCCGTATTTCACCGTCTGCCTCAACTACGATGCTTATCAAGCAGGCGCGTGCGAGGGGAGTATCGGTCCTAAGACCGGGTGCTGGTGCGTGACAAACCTGTCTCTCGTTGGGAAGCTCCGAGTCCGCTAACGTCCGCCAGTACGATCGCCTCTCTGGCCGAGTGCATTACCTTGCTGTGGCCGGGCTCCACTGTCAAGTCCATGTTCGGGTGTTTCAGCGAACGGACTGTTTTGACTATGTTGACTGCCCCCCAGTCTGTTATCGACGCCACCAGTACGACTGCGACAACAGCTTCTAGCATCGCCGCCACCAGCACCCAAACGACCAGCGCCGCACCCCCCTCCGGCGGCGGAGGAGGAGGAAGCAGCAACAACACTGGCGCAATTGTGGGCGGCGTAGTCGGCGGCGTGGGCGGCTTGGCGCTTATCGCAGGCGCCATCGCCTTCTTCATGATTCGGTCCCGCAAGCGGAAGAACAACGTCGGATCCGGCACGGCCTACAGCGCTGTCGCCCCGGGCGACACGGCATACCCCGGCAGCCCCATGCAACAGTCCGCCGGCCCCCCGGCCCCGTCCGTGTCGCCCCAGACGACCCACACAGGCTACTTCAGCCCACCCAGCACCCTCCATCCCGACACCGCCCACTCGCCGGGCGCTGGGGCTACATCCGGCATGTACGACCCCCGCCATTCGTACTATGACCCATCCAACGTGGGGGAGCAGAACCAGCAGCAGCAACAGTACGGCCACACGCCCCCGCCCCCCGGCCATGCCGCCTACCCGGCCCCTTATCCTTCTCCGTCTCCCCAGCAGCAGGTGTCAGAACTGGATACGTCGGCCGTAGCAACTGGCCATGAGGCGAACCCCGCTGAGATGGGCGATTCGTCGACGCGAAGATGAACAAAACAGATCCGCGGACCATGGATACACTTTGGAGCGAGGATTTGGATGGTGCTTGCATGGGGGAGAGAATGTTGAGGAAATAATGTCTCCATCTGACCTGAAGTTTTTATGAGCCAATATATTGTCTAAGCAAGCGGTTTCTAATATCTGTACATTTGCTCTTTCTCTTTAACCCTTTGCTGATGGAGTGAGATGTCTTTTGTTCATTGATCTGAATCGTTTGTCAAATTGGGGGGTGGATGACTTCCAGTTTAAGAACACATTTTCGAACAGGAAAGGAGTTGGCGGACGTATATTACCAGCACATAATCTCTTCAGATTCACCTCCTACACCTCGATTCTGGCGTGACAGACCTGGTCTGGCAACGCCGTTGATGCTCCATGTCACTCTGTTCACCCGGCCCTGGTCTGAGAGCAATGACGGCTCAAGCAAGCACCTCGCGTCTGGCTCATCATGGCCCTACTGAACCCATCCCAAACCCTACCCACACTTTATAAACTTTGCCGCTGTATCGCAGCTCGCTCTTGTAATAGTCATCTCTGCAGATCTTGAACTCTACCAATCTAAAGAAAGCCAAGTCTTCCACCTCGTGAAGAGAGGAAAATAAAAGCAAGAAGGCTGATAAAGCCATGCGTCATCTCCTCAGGTACTCCAAATTCACCGCCGTCACCGGATCTTCCCCCTTTAACACGGCAGTAATGTTCCTCATACTCAACTCCTCAAACCCGACATGCGTCTCGACCGTGCCGCCCGCATTATGGCACGTCAACATGACCCTCCCGGGCCCGGGCAGCCCTTTCCCATCATCGCCATCGCTCCCAGGCAGCGCGATCTGCCTAGCCATGCGTATCAGGCGGGGATTCACCCTTGGTTCGTTGGCATGGACATCCAGCGCGGCAGCGCTCACAACCCCAGACTCGAGGGCATCCGCCAGCGCGTCCTCGTCGACGAGCGAGCCGCGCGCGACGTTGACGAAGCGCGTGCCGCGGCGGAACGAGGAGAGTGTCGTGGCTGTGATGAGCGGTTGGCCGTCTGGCGAGGCGGGTGTGCAGAGGACGATGCAGTCCGAGGATTGTAGGAGAGAGTGCAGGGTTGGGTGGAAGGTCGCGTTGAGGACGGATTCGAGGGAAGAGGGTTTGCGGATCACGTCGTGGTAGGCAATGCGCATGCCGAAAGATGGGTTACCCAGCTTGGCGGCGATGTGCTGGCCAATGTTGCCGAAACCGATCAGGCCGAGGGTATGGCCGCGCGGGTTGTGGCTTGCGGCGGTGGCCTGGGCGTGACAGGCTTGGAACGCTTCGCGGGCGAGGGTGTCGGTGTGGGAGGGGGACGATTGGGCGGATGGGGCGGGAAAGGTCGCTGCTGTCATGCACCAGGGGAGGTGTCGAAAGGTGGAGATGATCATGGCCACGGCAAAGTCGGCGACGGCTTCGGCGGCTGCGAGGCCCGAGTTGCAATAGATGATGCCTGAGGTCTGGTTAGGGAGTCGTCTGGCTTGTGGCAAGATGAACTTTATTTACCCTTCTCGCCTAGCAGCTTGGTATCTGCCCAGTCGAAGCCCGCGCCAGCGCTGGCAAAAACTCTCACCGACTTAGGCAGTAGGTCGATCAGTTCGGCGTCCCATCTCCCCATCTCGCCGCCGGAGCCCCAAAACGGCCTAAATATTGCGCTGAATTCGCCCCAGCGGCGCTCCTTTAGCGCCCGTATGAACTCACCACGCTCGCGCTCGGGGGTGCTGGGCCGTACGACTTCGAAGTCGCTGCTGAACAGTGCGTATGTCGTTGGGTTGTACTTCACGGGGTCGCCGATGTGGAGAACAATCGGACGAGTCGGGGCGGCGCCTGTCGCTGGCCTCGAGCTAGGCGTAGTCGCACTCTGTGCTAGATCCGGCACGACGGGCACTGGGGAGGAGGACCGCGGAGTTGACGCCGGCACCGGGGTGCTTGGAGGCATTGGAGTGTTTGTCGGCTCCGCCATGGTAACGGAGCGAGTGATCACCGCGCCGAGGAGCGCAATGCTGCGGGAGCCGGATGACGGGGCGCTGTTCAGGGCTGGTCTTTCTTCCGGTTACCTGGAGTAGAGAGCAGAGGAAACAACGGCGAATAATCGGTAGCAGCGCTGTTTTATCTGCTATCTGAGAGCCATCTTGATGCGACGCCAGCAGGGGGGATCTGTCGCAATGCAAAGGGCCCCGCTAGCGCTTGTCCCGGCTGTGACGTGGAGCGCCAAACAATACCCCACGCTTACCGACCATAGCCAGCCTCTTGTGGCGTGGGCCAGCCATCATTGTCGCAGAAAAAGCAGTCACCGAAGGCGATGGTGAGGTCGGCGCTCCAACGGAGTGACACAGACGGGATACGGGGTATTGGATTTCTCAGATCCATCCAATGTTTTGATGATCGTGGTTTGGTGCGGGGTTCAAGTTCTGGGGGAGGTCGGAACCCGTAAGTCGGGACTCGGGTGGAGGTTGCTCAGTGGGGTCCCGCTGTCCTACCCGTACCTTAGGACAACCTCAGGTCGTCTCTCTCGAGACAACGTGCTTTCTCCATTCCTTCAGCTTGACACCGAAATGCTCGATGCTGGTTTGAATGCATTGGGTGCAGCTTGGTGTATCAACTACAAGAAACTGACAGTTCCATTTCCCAGCCACTCTAATGGAGTTATCGACAGCTCTCTAGAATACATCTCACCCCCACCTACCATTTACCCCACAACTTGAATCCTCTCGACCTCACCGCTTCCCCTTCTTGCGCTCCTCCTCCAACACCTTTGCACACCAGAACGACCCGAGCATGAAGAACGTGTTCCCAATGAAGTCCAGCCACATCCAACTGTTGATCATCCCCCTCCCCGGACCGATGTCGCTGAACCAGAAGTTGAACCCCACAATGTACGGGATCATGGCGAGGCCAAAGACCTTGAAGCTGAAGGCCGTCATTTGGGACGTACCCAGTACCACGCCGCACGTCATCGCCTGGGCGCCCCAGCAGCGCACGAAGAGGTATGTGGTCTCGTTTGCCATGGCGACGTACTTCGGAGTAAATCCCAAAGAGACGACAGAATATGGGTGTAAAAGGCACCTGGTTCAATGTCAGGCTTCCGATCCTGAAGTAATGCTTGGTTCAATGGGAATCTTACCATGCGCTTAGCCCGCAATACGCAGCTGCCATAGCTGTTCGTAGGCGGCGGACGGTCTCGAGTCTCTGAGGGGTCGTCATGGTGTTGCGCTTAAGCTTCCGTTGTTGAATTCTGAAGTTGTGTTATCTGTCAATGGGTGGAATGCCTTGTCTTTGGAGAAAGACTCTGTATTCAAGCCGCTGATGAGTGGAAATCGGCGATATTTTGTATCGGCTCGCGCACTTGGACATGCTGGACGTGGCAGTGGCTTGACCCTCTTGGCCTTGAGAATTCCGACCGCTTGGACTTTCTTCCGCTCCTGCATTACCCGACTGAGTCACTTCAGCACCGAGTATCGAGCGTGTCTCACAGACCAATGTGCTTTCTGACCCGAATGATTCCGACATATCCGTAGATGAGCGCTCAATGAACGACATCCGGGTCTGTCAGATGGCTCAACCGCTCGGCGTCTCCGAATTATTACACATGTTCGTCGTTAGTTTACATGTTCAACGGTGAAATCTGCGAGCTGATGTACACAGCCTTGCTCGCATATTTACAATACATTGGTTTTCCATTGGGTCAGAGGTCAATTCTGCATGTCGGCGGGTTGTAGTGTTGCATTGGTCCATCTCCCACGCTGCCTGAGAGGGAGGGGAGAAACCAGCCGTGCCTGAGGGGTCCCTTTCCTACAAGCATCACGGCACCCCTGGCTCAAGGTTACCCCGGGTTCCCAAAACACGGCTTGTCATCACTGGATACGAATGAACATCCATCGCCATGCACCTGCTAAACATTCCATCGTTGCGGCTCGAGTCAGTTTTCGACCCGTATATTCCTCAGTATGCCATCCTTTCGCACACATGGGAGAACGAGGAAATTCTACTTGACGGCATCCGCGACCCATGCCAACCGCTGCCCGTCCACAAGAAAGGCTTCGCAAAGGTTCAAAAAAGTTGTCGTCAGGCGCTCCATGATGGTTTTGGCTATGTCTGAATTGACACTTGTTGCATCGACAAGAGCAGCAGCGCCGAACTCTCCGAGGCCATCAACTCCTTGTTTCAGTGGTATCTTAAATCGCGCCGCTGCTACGCCTACTTGGTCGATGTCAACGATCCTGCAGGCGAGCGCAGCGTGGGCTTTCAGCAAAGCCGCTGGTTTACCCGAGGGTGGACTTTGCAGGAGCTTATCGCACCCAAAGATGTCCGTTTCCATGACCACAACTGGAGTTCGCTCGGCAGGAGGCAAACCAGTGGTGACGATCCCGGCGCCTTGGAGGACGTCGCCGAGGAAATCAACAGAACGACCAACATAGCCGTCGATCTCCTGCGTTGGTATCGTGTTTCAAAAAGATTCGAGGAGAAAAAGAAAGAGCAAAGATTAACGACGGCACCTTGGGATTCCGACGTGGATTCGGACAGCAGTTCCATCACGGATTCAAAAGATAATTCCAAGTTAGATGCGTCCCGTTCAGCAGCACCACTCACCGTTGAAGAAACGATCGATCAGCTGACAATCGCCCTGCGAGCATTCAGCGTTGCGAGCATTCAGCGTTGCACGGAAAATGTCTTGGGCAGCCCACCGACGTACAACACAACGCGAGGATAAGGCCTACTGCCTGTTGGGGATCTTTCGGGGCGAGTATGCCCTTGTGGTATGGAGAACGGCGGCGGGCCTTTCTCCGCCTGCAGCAAGAAATTCTCAAGGTTTCGAACGATCAGTCTAAATTGGCGTTCGACCACCCGTGTACGGGATGTGGCTATCACACCTTTCCACAGACAGGGGTTGCTCTCCCAACAGAATCCCCTCGATGCTTGCGGGCTCAATGATCGAACGGCCGGTGCTGTATCCTCCTTTCTGGCCCCGGTAAGCCTCAAATGTTGCCCGAGCTTTTACCCTCCCCGGGATTCAAATAAGCTTATGCCTTTGCCCGTTGACGTCCGGTGACCTTTTAGACACACGGGAAGGCCGTTTATTTTCGGTATTTTGCGGCGCTGGGTGCACGGCGACGATTTTATGAGGCGCCCAGCGATTTTCCTCAGTGCTGTCGACCAAAGTGACAAGTTAGTCAAACGGATATACGGGCATCGTGGACTTGGATTTATAGCCCCTTGGATATGGCGCCGCTGGATGAGGACGAAGGTATAGTTGATCAAGCGACCCGTTAACCACTCATTTTACCGTGCTCTAGTCCCTTCATGACCTCAGTCGTCACAAACTGCCAAGCTGATGAATCTGCTCTCATCAGACATAAAGCCAAATCTCTCCAAGGCATCGTTTCAGGTCATTCGTATATACTTCGACCCGCCTGAGCCTCGGAATCATCCTCGGACTCACTTTCCTTGGATACAGAAATGCCAGTCTCAGGCGGAATCAGGATCAGCCTTCCCATTGCTCAGTGTCTTCGGCTGCGGTGCCTATCCTGCCGTCTTGAGATGCAATCTTCGCGGCTGGCATCTATTTGCACCTAATGTACATCCTGAATCTTGGCTGAAGCTCCCGCTGGCACAAAGTGTTCACAGCGAAACGATTTCTCAAGGGTTAGAACCACCATCCGCGAGTGGTGTCATCATCCTCAGATTGGCAGAGGTTGGACCATTGGTGATCTCGTGGGGCCAATTGGAATGGTTTGCAGTACTCACCTGGAAGGAAATTGCTGAGAAGTCCGGGCTTGTCCTATCCCCAGCCCGAATTCGGACTTTGATGAACTTGCAAGGTTGGTCTTTGCAAAGCAGGAGATCTGGGTTCCATTGGTAAATCCATCTCTTTAGCCCATTGTAGAGCTTCATCTCCCCTTCTTTACCACTGAATGCAAGGTAAATGTATGGATTTCTTTAGGAGGAGAGTGCTATATGTGGCCATGGATAGCATCGTGAAAGCACAGCGAAAATGGGTGCCGACGAAACAAGGTATGGAGGCGGGTAATTAGTAATGTCGGAGTTTCACCGCTGGATTGAACTACATGGCAACGACGCTGAAGAAGGATGGCGAAGGCATCGTCACCGGACTGTGGGGGCCAGAACCTGTGGTGGTACTGCAACCCAAAAATCCGTCGCCTCCCTGGGCCCTGCTCCGAGTGGCCATCATGTGCACTCTACTAAGCATGTAACACTGCATGGGAACGGAACTTTGTCCTCATGCATGCCTACGTTCTTGGGTATTGGACGGAACTTTGAGTCAAAAGGGGCAAGGCCTCCGGAGTGCCTAGATCTCGCGGCTTTCTTCTCGTGTGGGATCAATCCTTCAATGCCGAAACACGGTACATCTGAATGGTTGAATGATGCAGCCTGGGAACCGGGCACCGCTTCTCCATGGTTCCGTCAAAGAGACATCAAGTCAGTACCTCAGAGGTGTATATATATCTTGCCTCCGCGCCGCCAAACTCCGCTTTCTCCACTCCACGTCCAGGTAGGCAATTAAACGCCTGAATAATTGAAGTTTGAATTATCGCAAGCCCCAGAGTGCCCAGTCGCCGCCAAAATGTATCTGCCCACTATCGTCACGCTTACCTTGTCTTCTCTTGCCGTGTCTACGGCTCTGCCCACGACCTCTTCCTCCCCCATGAGCTTCACTGGCAAAGGCCAGCTCCGCACCCTCTGGAGTGATGGCGACCACACCGACCTTGGTTGTATCACCGACGCCGGCCTGTGGACGGGCAACAACACTCTCTGCGGCACCTTCACCGGCACCCCGACCAGCAACAGCAACCTCCGTACCTTCAATCTCACCTCAGCAGCGGGGCCGTGCCGAATCTGGGGCAGCACGTTCATTTGTGAGCAGTGGAATGGGGGTTATCCATCCATTTACGAATTTGGAGTGAGTAATCCAACAAATGCCGACAACGGATTCGACCGCTGACAAAACACCTGAAACACAGATCTGGCCGTACCCCAACTCGATCCCTGGCGTGGATTGTCTGCGCTGGTCGAAATATGGGATGATGGGCAACCCTGAAGGTAACCCGACGGGTCCGGAGGATTCGCCGCGGGAGATTCGTTTGCTTTCGTACATCGAAAAGCCAAAGTGGGTGTGGTTGACTTGGGAGTCGTTGGAGAATTGAGGTTTTGCTCTCTAAGACTGTTTCTATGGTGACGGTGCCGACTCGACGTTGATGCAACTCTATCAGAAGAACATAGAAAATCTGGTCTTTCTGACAGGTCTTGAAACCGTCCCTATAATTTGTACGTAATGTCTCGCACAGGGAGAGACGACTTAACTGACCGAGACGCTCTTCGCTCGCTCGTCGCTCGAAGCAACAGGACGATGTCAGTTCATTGCTCAAACGGGACGGGTTGGATGAATGGATGGTAGGAATTTATTTCGCCCGGAGACACGAAGCCTAAAGGGCCTTGGCACGCTAACTACATCCAATTCGTTGACGTTTGGTCATCAACTCGTACTAGCCAAACGGGACGGGTTTCACAGGTGCTCCACTGTATGTCACGTGCAAGCAACTTGCAATCCGCAGGCGTGCACAGACCACTACGCGCGGCTACTTGAACTTACATAGGCCGCCCAGACTCCTCCTCTTCTCTTTTTCTTCTTCATACTTACCTTGGTTGGGTTCACCTGGATCAAGAAGCAGGGGCACCAGAGTGATAGCCTGCCATTGCAGATCGGTGGAGCCCGTCACTCTCAATTGTCCCAAGGGGCCGTTGGAACCGTAATTTTTGATGTCTTCACTTTTTCACCATGCACGTCGCCTGAGTGGCGTCATGGGGAAGAAGTTCTGCGTTGCCGGTGTGCTCACTGTCTCCGGCGAGGCGTCAAGCATGCACAACATACCTATGACTGTAAGGACCAGCGGATGCCAGCAGTCGATTGCATTTCGACATGTTGAACTTGTGGGAAGCTCGGTTTCAACTGGTGAATTCAGGGACTGATTATCACCGCTTCCCTTCCCATTCCCCAAATGTCGGAATTACAAAGAACGCTGGGGCACGAAAGAGCAGGTTGGCAGCCTGTCCCAAGTGATGTGACAGAGGTGCACGCTGGAACAGACCGCGTTCCTGGCTGACGTGGAGTGTTGTAGAGGGTGACAGAGGGCAGGACAATACCCTTCTACGGTGTCAGTTGCAAGGCTTCCGAAGAAACCACCAAACTAAACCGACGCTCTAGACCAAGCCAAACCAGCCCTATGGCTTGGCTTGGCGTGCGGGCTTGCAACTATGCCAAGCCGTCAGGTATCCTGACCCCGAGAATCATGGTTAGAACCGCTATATATACCCCTAACCCTTTAATAATCGACAAGGCGGCTAGGGGCTAAGATCAAGCTGGTGGTTGGGATGGCATCCAGACAGGCCTGCCGGCCACTATTATACAAGCCGGCAAGCCAAACCAGAAAAACGGTTTGACTTGCCAAATCGACCAATATTGCCGATTGACTTGGTTTGGCTTGGATTTGGCAAGTCTTCTCTTGAGGTGGTTGATTTGTTCGGAGCCTTGGTTAACTAGTTCTCATTTTCTTTTCACAGTTCTTCCTGACTAATCGAAGGAGTTGGACATGGTATCTCAGATGCGTCTTGGTAAGAGAACAATGTGATTGCGACCTGACATCCTCTGTTTTCTGTTTATAATGCGCGGGCGGGCCGGGGCGGCAGCTTGAAATGAGACAGGTTCGCTAGCCGGAAATGGCTGGAACTCTTTGACTTCACTTTCCCTCTCAAGGTTGCCTCCTAGGAATAAGGTAACTTATGAGTTGCAGATACCGATGAATAATCCTCCCAAATGTTTCGAGCGGTTACCTCGCGCTCGATTAGTCCTTCTCCCACCATTCCGCCTCATCGTTCAGCACGCCGCATGACACCTCAGCATGATCATTCTCTCCCTTTTCTGCTCTCACGGAGAACCGTACCTTTACGAAGAAACGCAAGGTATTCAAGGAGCGGAAACTGATACTCGGTCCCCTCACTGGCGACCTAGAACATGAAGATTGCGACCTAGGTGAAGTAGGTCGAATAAACTAAGGTATCCCCCAGCCCAATGCAGGCTCAACCATGGAGGACTCGATGAAATTTCCAATTCCACGATCAACCTAATCCTAAAACTGCCCATTCAGCCCGCCGCAGCGCGGGTACCGTACAAATCATCGGCAGCACTCTTGCTGATGGGCTTGTTGCGATGAGCCTCAATGGTGTCGTCGCCCCCGAGTTCTTTCAGTACCTCTTTGCTAGCTTGCTTGGATTCCTCGCTGGTGTCTGCGTGCTGTGTTAGCAAGATGTTTCGCAACCACATGTCTTTCGTAATGTGATTGACACTCACTTGGATTGGAGAGGTTGGCCTTATGTCCGCGAATCTCGCTGGTGATGCCCTCCTTTCCTTCGGTAAGCTCCTTCATATCGTTGGACATGACTGACTTTGCGCCCGCTGAATCCATAGTGCAGATATAGGAGTTGGACTGATGGGTTTCAATACTGTTACTTAATCGGGTGTCAATGTCGTGTTGAAAGGTTCTGAAGGTTCAAGACGATGTTGCTCTTTTGGGAAGGCAGTGTAATATGAATTATGTGATGGGATGAGCACACAGCAAGGTGTGGCTCCTCCGCCGTAAAATACTGCTGAAATCGGGTCCGGTCTGTTGGGTTATGACGTCCCTTACCCTGCTTTGCTTTCCCTGTATTTGTCCTCTGTCGTCATTAGCTTGGTGCGGATATGCGTTCTTAGGATAAATATTTTAATCAAACATACCAGCTTAGAGGGAGCTTGGCTCAGTTGGAAGAGCGCAGGTCTCATACGAATTGTGTGATCCGATCCAAGATCGGGATATCCTGAGGTCGTGAGTTCGAGCCTCACAGTTCCCAGCTATTTTTGCTCTTCGTTCTCTTTCACCTGATAACAAACGGGGATCTACTGCTGTAAATCTTCGGCGCACATATGTTACCGTGCTCTGGCTCGTCAGTGCACCTGTTCTCTTTTGTTATTGTATTAGGAAGCTCGGAGTACCTGCTGCAGTGAAATTGGAATGTTCATCCACCCACATCTTTCAAATCGTTCGGCATCCGATTTGCAGGAACAGGCTTCAGGATGCGCCGAAACACGAACATAATAAGTCAACTGACTGAAATCAATATTTGGATATGTAAATGGAAAAGTATCATAACGCAAACTCAACACACACTATCCGCGCTTGACGGCCGTCACCTAAGTTCAACCACTCTGCCTTCCTCAAATAGTCTTCTCGGGAACATGTCCCTTAATGCTATGGCTCGGGCTGCCAGTCGTGCCTGTGTAAGCACCGTCCACGTGGCGAGTAATCTCGACATAGTCGTAGGCGAACTCGCCCAGTTGGCCATCGTCGAGACCAATTTCCTCCTCTTCGGGGCTGACGCGCAGCGACAGACTGGGTACGAGGTTCATGAGGAACAGAATGACGCAGGTCAGGACAAACGAGTAGGAGAACCCGGCGACGCTGTCGGCGATCTGATAGCCGAGTTGGACGTAGTTATGGTTGACCCAACCGCCGGGAATCGAGCTGAAGCCATCAAGATGAGCAATGTAATCACTGGAGTTGTCAGCTTGGACCTTCTGTATGGATTCTCACGGAACTCACGCCGCAAAGAGACCCGTCAGAAGGTTCCCGACGATACCTCCCACACCATGCTCGGCAAAGATATCGAGGGGCTCGTCAATGCCCAGGACAAACTTCAGCTTGGTGGCGAAATTGCACGCAATGCCGCCAACAACGCCGAACACGACGGCCGACCAGGGCGGGACGAAACCCGCGGCTGGGGTGATGGCGACGAGACCGGCGATGGCGCCGCTGCAGAAGCCTACCGCGCTCCATTTCCTCTCGAGCCGGTAGTCCATCAGGCACCATGTAAACCCGCCGACGCAGGCGGAAATATGCGTCACGATACACGCCATGACGGCGCGCATGTTGGCCGCGAGGGCACTCCCGCCGTTGAAGCCGAACCAGCCGACCCAGAGGAAAGTGGTACCTAACACGACGTGGGTGACGTTGTGCGGCCTGTAGGGCAGGCCGTTAACCTTGGTGTAGCCGGCGCGCTTGCCAAGCATCAGCGAGTAGGCAAGCGCGGCCGCGCCAGAGCTAATATGGACGGGGGTACCGCCGGCAAAGTCGAGGCCGCCCATTTTGAAGGACCATCCGTTGGCGTTCCACGTCCAGTACGCGATCGGGTCGTAGACGATGGTTGCCCAGATGAACATGAAGACGACACATGGGAGCATACGACCTCGGTCAGCGGCGGCGCCGAGGGCGAGGGCGGGACTGGAAGGTGTCAGCATGGAAATCTAGCTGACAAGGTTGGTGAAGTGGGAACTGACGTGATGGCGGCAAACATGCCCTGGTAGAGGCAGAATAGAATGTCGGGGACCTTGGTGCTGCCGACGCTGGGCTGGCCCAGCACCTTCATCAGGCCGAAGTTGGTCAGGTCCCCGATGTAAGCGCTGCCGGTGTGGGAGAAGGTGAGCGAGTAACCCCAAAAGAACCACTGGAAGCCGACAACGGCTATCGACATCAAGGACAGCCATATCAGCGATAGGGCAGACTTCCGTCGTGCCAAGCCGCTGTAAAAGAAGCCAACGCCTGGGACCATGAGCAGCACGAGTGCCGAGGATGTCAGGATCCATGCAAAATCGCCGGCCTGGGATGAAACATTTCGTGTTAGCGGCAAGGACCAAGGCCCCTTGGCCATAAGATTTCACGCCAGTACTTACCGAGTAGTAAGCATTGAGGTCCTCGGTCAACGAATCGCCGCCGGTGTCGGCAACGCCCGTGACGCCGGCATACTCGGTTAGGGGGCCGGCTGACATGGTGTGGATCGGGATGTGCTTTCGAGAACGCACGGAAACAGCGGCCAAAAAGTAACAGCGCCGATGCTTCCGGACCGATCGTAGGCCAGGCTGAAGACAACTGCTGCAGATATGAAGTGGTTCATGTCAGCTTGGGACAACTGGGGCGGGATCGGCACTCAAATACCTAGCCGTCGTCTCCAGGAAGAGCTCAGAGCTTCGAAGAGCTTCGCCAAGGTCCCTCTTCGCCCATCCTGCGGACTGATAAGACCATTGACAATATCGGTTCTCTGATTCCTCTCCGGGCGGTGTCCTTGTCTTGGCCTGGGGTCATCACCAACAATCGGGTGGCCCGCTGATAAGATTCCAAACCGCTGCACAGATTACGGCGGTCAGTGGGGGTGCAGCAAACGCTGGAAGTCACCGATGACGAGCCACGGAGGAATCAAATCAGTCAGTGCCACGCAATTCGGTTTCTGCTCGGTATTCGGCCATCTATCGCCCACAATATCAATCTAGGATGCCTCTGGCTAAAACATCGTGCCCTCAGTGCTGATGAATGTCGGGATCTGTTCCAAAAGTACCATAAGTGGGGCACTGAAAACGCTGCCTTTGGTTTGGGGAAACCGCCGAGGTGGAGTGTGTGGTGGGCCAGCCCGCTGGCCAATCCAAGCAATGGAATGGGGTCTCTGGCGATAACAACGACTAACTCGGGTCTGCTTTTAGGCAAACCATACGATATCAAATTCCTGCTGACTCGTGTTCCTACTTTATGTTGAGTTTGGTTGGCAAGAAAGAAGGTGCAAAGAGTATTAGAATACTCTGGCATACAAAGCCGACACAGTAGTATTCCGTCGCAATTCCAGGGTTCAACTGCAATCTGGGCTATTATCCAGTCTGCGGCTGCACAGGGCCTTGTCGTCCCTTGCCAGCCCTTCAAGCCGCCGGGCCGAGTAAGCAGCTCATGATTCTTGGAGGAAGCAGCTCCTCTAAGAGTCCTTTCTCGCGTTGTTACTAATGCTCCGTATGCTCCGTCAATCGACCTCTTCTTTATCAGCCAACCCAAATAGAACCTAGGGCCATGGTTCTGCCTTGGCACTGCGTTATCTCTTGGCAAGATGCATTGATCTTACAGATTACGGAAATCCTCCAGGCAGCCTGAGGTTCAAAAGTGACACCACAGTAAACACGGGAAGTACGCCGGAACACATGCGCGCCATGCATCTACCCATTGTGGTAACTCTTGTGTATGTCCTCCGGTATCAGGATCAAGCAAACTAAAAAATCACTCTTGCCGCAGCAGTAAAGGGATGGTCAAGGGTCATCACAGGGTTTCATCGCATCGACCCACAGCGCTGCTTGGCGAAATGCTTGTCTCTTCTCACAGACCCATCGGCCAATGCCCACAATGAGCAGCACATACCTATAATCCAGCCCGAGTTTGTTTCTTATTTACTCCGTATTATAACTAACGTTAGTACTTAACTTGTCTAAGAACTTAGGACATCACTACAGTGCTATGGTAGCTAATATCGAAAGATAATTCAATCTCTTAATTCTAACGTCACTCTCTCTCTTCTCTTCCTTACTTTCATGGTTATTTCCCCGCCTTTTTTTTTTCTCTTTTTATTTAACTAGTCTTTTCCTCTTTTGATTTCATACGGATTCAAACAAAAAGCTTAACACGCAAGATTCCAGTTAGATTGCATGTCACGAACCAACCCGAGCGACTTTGCGGCAATCTTACCTTACTGGAAGCGGATTTGATGATTGTTAGGCAACAAACAAGGCTCCTCTGCCTTACCCTACCAGGTACACCTCCGAGACAAGACTGCGAAAGTGGCCTTTGCGTTGTTTAAGGTAGGCTAGGTAGCCGACGGGAGCTTCCAATGACGGCGAATGGCGCAAGCCCTCTGCGGGCTGCCGGCTGCAGGTAATCTGACCGCAGCTGCGAACAGTCGGTCTTGGTCGGGCTTTCATCCGGCAAACAAGTGTAGACCGACCAGTAGGCCATGCTTTCCATTCCTTTTTCAGCCCCGGGGAGAGTAAGACCGGCGGTCCTGCCTGAGGAATTGGAGAAGAAAATGTGGTCCTTGATTACGCATTTTGGGCGCGACAACACCTTCCATGTGACAGGCATCCCGTCCAATAGTCTGTGGTTTCCGGGGAGCCTCAGACTGACTGCAACCCGTCCAAACCGCACACCCTCAAAGGCTCAAACTCCAAGTCCGTTCCCTCATTACCTTACTACGCGGCGGTTGAGAGAGCGCTTGTGCACGCCATCCCTACAAAGTTCACCGGATGTATACAAGCAAGTCATAGTGATATCTGCATATTTCTTCGTTTTCTCGACCTTCCTCCCCTTCGTCAGCAGAAATACCTGTACCATTGTTTTCTCCCGCGATTGCGGCCTGCCGAGCTCGACTGCATCCGCCCGGCAACTTCTTTCGACGTTCCGAGGTGTATCCCACCACCACTCGCCCGACTCTGCTGGCAAAGAGGCCGCCGGAACTATCCACCTATACCTTCCAGTCTTCAGCCAGCAATACGGTGGGTTCGGTTGACGAGAGGAGGTTCGGACCCAAAGCTAGGACCCAGGCGCCGGGTGCCCCGCATCTGCCACGCTGCCACGCCGGAGCCTTTGCCCGTTATCACGCTTTGATACTTCACTCAGTGGCCTGGGTCAGCACTTTGGTGGGCTGCACCAGTCCGGTTTGAACGCGCATTTTTTTTTCCTTCTACAATGCCGTCTCTCCGGCGCAAATTCAGGAAGCTGCGGGCTATGTTCAAACGACGCATCCAACCCAAGCTCAGAGGCCAGGGATCCCAAGACTCCCATCAGCCGACTGGTAAGCAGCAGATCAAGCAACCGCCCGGAACCGCTGCACTGGCAGGTATGTAGCTCCAGGCATGCAGGGCAGGCCGCTCATCGCTATCGAACTAGGTCCAGGCTCATCACGGAACACTCATGGACCGGTGAGTTTGACTGCCTCCGCCCATCTGCTTTCTTCGCTTCCGACCCCGCAACCCCCAATCAGCGCCACAAACCAGCCCTCATCGTCAGTTCTGGCGTCCATGGGCAGTTTGGTACATGATGGAGTCGGCGAGCCTCGGAGCTCGGCGGCCAACCTCATCGGTACGTTCCCCCCGCCTTATCCCTGCCGGACCTGTCGGGCCTTCCAAAACGACCTGGTAGATGCAGCAGCTATGGACTGACGTTTGATTCCGCAGTAGATCTCGCGGGACTCCCCGATGGTCAGGCCACTTGTTTAGGTGCCATCATCGACCTGACGGGCGAGTCCGAGACCACAGCCCAAGAACGGCCAAGTTCCACCAGCGTGGACATTGACAATGATGGACATTGACAATGAACAATTGACACAGATTCAAGACGACTGGGAGGTGGCTCAACAGTTGCGAGATGAGTTTTATTGTGACGACACGGATTTGATGGAAACGGACTCCGTTGACATTGCTTTTGTTCAGTCCGACGGAATAGCCGACTACTGGCGACACCTACGATCCGTACGATGCAAGAACTGCCAGAAACCCCTCAAGATCGATGCCACCGACCTCGTCAAGCGAACGAAACAAATGCTCAAGGAAGCCCGTAAGTCCTGAATGTAGCATCCCTTTACTGAGAGATCGGGGTTGACCGGCGCAGATGTCCTCCACCCCTGCTTTTTCTGCCCGCACTGCAGTGGATGGTGTTGTGTCGGATGTGATTTATTCCATGCCACCGCCTTGATGTCGACGCAGAAGCATGTTGCCTCGGCAAGAACCTTCAAGTCCACCTGGTGCTGCGACAAAGGACGCTTGTTTCTCATTTTCTGCCTCTTATGCGGCGTTGACCCTCCTGCCAGTCAACTTACCAGTCAACCCTCACCGGCGCCGAAGAAAGTCAAATATGCACGTTCAACGTCGCAACCGTCGTCATCGAAAAAGGCAAGACGCGAAGGCTTCAGGAAATCGAAGCTTCCCAAGGGGATCGGATACGGCGACGGCTCTATCAGCGGGCAGCCGGCACGTGGATCACTTCAGCCGACGGGCAGCGACAACATAGAAGACCTAGAACTATACTTTCAGGGGCTCGCGTCCCTCTTGCCTTCCCCTACCAAGGGGACCACCGAGTTTGACAGTCTTCCTCAACCCTTAGTCTCGGCAATGGTTTGGAGGAGTCCCGTGTTGCAACATGCCTCCGAGATTCTTCGACAAGCTGCAATCGAGGAGATTAACGCTCGGTACGGTCCCGTCACAGCGGTCCTCGATTTTCTGGAAACAGCTGGAAGTCATCCCGACACACAGCCCGCTCTGGTTCAGCCAAGAATCCTCTTTCCGCCGTCAGAACAGCTAATCAGCGTTGCGCTAGAGCAACAGAACGAGGCTGGAGCCGAGGACCACGAGACGACACAGTCACTGGCCGCCACTGTAGAGAATCTGGCGGTTTCTTGTCGCAGATTCATGGACAACTCCACAAGACTCAGCAACCCCCAAGACGAAGAGGGGGCAAGGCTGTTGGCGGTAGTGCAGAAGATATGCACTATCGCCAGTTGGCTTGGATCGTGCCATGGAGACCTGGCAGTCGTGGGGAGCCAAGAGATTTGCCAACCCTCGACGTCGTCAGCGGGCCAAAGCAGCCACTCAACCACTAGAGTCGCGACGAGTGTAGGACTCCAAGACGTCTGCACAGCATCCAAGTGGCATCGCACAAACTGTGTCAAGGAAGTGCCGGACGAGACGATATTGAAGGATTTCCACTACAGAAGCGCCGCCTTGGCAGCGGCGGATTCGAGACCAGCGCCACAACGGATGAGGAAGCTTCTTGCTCAGGTCTCTTCTCTGAGCACTGACCTCCCTGATGGTATCTACGTCCGACACGGGGAAAGCCGCTTGGATGTGTTGAAGGTCCTGATCGTGGGGCCGGTGGACACACCTTACGAGCACGGTCTCTTCGAGTTCGATATGTTTTGTCCTAGTGAGTTCCCTCAGAGCTCGCCTCGAATGTTCTTTCGGACAACTGGAGGTGGGACTGTTACTTTCAACCCGAACTTGTATTCGAATGGGAGGGGTAAGTGTTTTCTCGCATCAATTCACCTAGATCCTTTGAGCGCTGCACGTTCCTCAGATTAACATTCGAGACAGTGTGCCTCTCATTGTTGGGGACATGGGGTGGTCAGAGTTGGGAACCAGATCGCTCAAGTATTCTGCAAATTCTGGTTTCAATACAAGGTGTGTGTCATAGCGCAGATTGTCGATTGATGCTTCCATCGGCAAAGAAGCGGCTGACTTGCCTTCCAAGCCATGATTTTCAACGACAAGCCATACCACAACGAGCCTGGCTACGAATATCATGAACCCGAGCAGTACAAAAAGCAAATCGAGCAGTACAACAGACAAGTCGAGCAGAAAACTGTCGACCACGCCATCCTTGGCTGGTTGACTGAGCGATTGGCAAGCCCGCACTCCGCTGGGACGGCAATTAGTCAATCAGCTTCTAGAATCTGCAGCCCTGCACCGCCCGCCCAGGGAACGGCCCAGGGAACCGTTGATCTGACCAACCTTTCGGTCCCGGGTCCAACTCACTTACCTCACGGGGCGCCGTCTGGCGCCCATGTGGCGAAGCCGCTGGCATCTCAGCTCCAAGCGCAGCATCTCACGACACAGTTCCATGGCCATCCAGCCGGTGCGACGATAGTACAGACTCCTCTGGGGGGCTTCCCATTCAACGAGTTCCATCATTACTTGACAATACCGGGCCAACAGGTCAGCTCGACTTATCCTCCTCCCAGCGGCACCGTGGCAGCGCTGCCAGCCCCTGAATACCACGAGCCCCTGCCGGTATCTCAACCACCTCCACCCAACACAACGGACAACCAGCCAGGTTCAGACGACAGCCTGCTATTGGAAGTATTCTCACCGTTTGAGTCGGCGGTTATTGCGGGGCACATTGATTCGGGCGGCGCCATCATCCAGGACGCCAGCTTATGGGTGGACATGATACTGACTGGGCCCGTAGCGGCCAACATAGCGAAGCCTCATCAAGCTCCTCAACCCCCGGCGACTTCTCGGCGAGTTCCTCAGTGTGACGACCCGATCTGGGGCGACGTCATACGCAAGCATTTTGAGCTCAAGGGCAGGCTGATTGTGGAGACAGTGAAGAAGTGGGAAAATCAAGCCCTGGCAGCGAAAGGCGACGCCGCTTGTCAAACGACCCTGCTCACTTCCTTGGAATCCATGGCAGGCGCAGGCCTCAAAGTGATGGCGGAGCTGGCCCGGCATGGGTTTGTTCACTAGCAGATCAGCCCGAAGGCCGGATCCCGGATAAGAGCACGCTCGGAGTCGTCTCCCCTGAAAGCGCTTGGGAAGAAGCACATGGGCACCTATCAGGGTAATTCAAGGCCCTTAAAATCTGGGTCGCCTGAACTGCCTGAATTCCAGGAACCATCGTCCCTGGAGTGGATGGTGTCCCTATGGGGTGAAGATAATGAAACTCCAGAGGGTCAGTGATGCTTGACCTCTGGCGTTGGGCAGGATTGGGTTAAGATTTCCGCAGTTGTGGATGGAGTCTTCTGAGCGTGGACATTGATATGGACTATTTTTAATCTGGTACTGTTAATTATTATTTCGTTCTTCCCCTTGACCTTGCCGAGACAGATACCTACCGGGCTAATCGGCCAGGTCCTCTAGCGTCACTGGAGCGGACCATGCTTTGGATAAAGCTCGCAACTGCGGGACATCCACGATGGTTTTGCATTCGAATAACATTGTATCTCGACATTATCCGGACTGTGGATTTCGCTTGGATTTTAGGGATCGTTAGGGACTGGGCAGCGGATGTTTTCATGGGGAGGGCAGTTGAACTTTGCATTAGGAGACAACAACTTCTGTAGTTGCTCGTACTTTGACCCCCAATGTCACCGAATGCCACGCCGCAAGTGGGTAAATCAAGCCATTATTAGCCTCATCAATGGGTGGTGGGTTGCCCCAGAAATGCCACCAGAAACTGCTCGGGTGCCCAACGAAGAGGTGGGATAACTACTGGGTCTGGTTACCACAGCCTCAGTTGGGTTGGCCCCAACCAAGATCGAGTAAGTGAGACCTGCTTGATCCTAATTGCAACTTATTAACATTGTTAGAGTTGAGGTGGCATTGCAATATGAGCACCCTGACTCAGTGGTCGCTGTCAAGCCAACGAGACCGGCGATAAACCAAATAAAGAGCCAGGGGAGACCTTCTCAAGCCGGCTTTTCATGCCATGCAAAATATCAAGCCAATTTACATATCTGTAAGTATTCCAACAGGCAAGAGCCTGCCCAGCCCTGTATTTTCTCTCCCAAACGCCTCGCCCCTAAAGATGCATCACCTCAACCGATCCGCCATGCACCAAACGCCCGCCACAAACCAAATCAGATCATACTACTACTGCCCTGGTTCCCACCTTCCAGGTCACGAGCAGGCTCCAGAAGAGAAAGGCTCACAAAGGCCCCCCAAAGGGATCCCCCTTTCCTTCCCCAGGGCCACCACCACCATCAGTGGCACCAACCTTCCTCCTCTTGGGCGGAACAGGCAGCGCCTCCCCAAACACGGCCGCATCACTCTCGAGCGTCCTGTCGTCTGGCTCCCCATCATCTGAGCCACCGCCCTTCTTGGTGGCCTGCTCGCGCCGCACGCGCTGTAGCTCGACGAGGTTCCAGCGGTCCGGGTCGCGGCACTTGGTGAGCTTCTTGCGGAGCGGGGTGATTTGTGCTTTGATTACTGTTTTCTGTGTTGTTTTTTTTCGTGTCAGTTATTATCAAGGTGGAAACAGGGTGGGGTTTAGGGGAGAGGAGAAAGGGTGAGGGTGTACATTTGTCCAGTGTTCCCTCCGCTCTGGCAGCTCTTTCGAGAGGAGATCGCGGCAGGCCTCTATTGTGCCGAGGACCTTGTCACGAATGTGCGAGCCGATAATCTGGGACTTGTCTTCGCCGCTATTGTTGCTGCTCCGCGGTGCGGCGTTTCTCTTGGTGTTGCTAGAGGGAGCGTCTGGCCCCGAGGTGGCGGGCGTTTCGGAGCCGGAGTTGTTGTTACTGGTGAATGGTGGGGCGACGTAATGGAAGGTTTGGGTGATAAGGCGCTCGGCAACACCACGGTCAGCGAGAGAGAGGGCGGCGAGCATGATTTGGCTTGGGGTGTAGTGAAAGTAAGCATCGGTCATAAGAGCGCTGAACCGGAGGATCTCGCGGGCGCGGTGTTCGGCGGCGACCAGGCGGTTGCGCTAATAGGATGGAGTTAGCCAGCTATCTTGAGGGAGAGACGAGGGGCGGTGACATGCCTCGATATCGGGAAGCGTGCTCAGCTCCATCACGGCGCCCCGAAGGGCTCGGAAGGGGTGCTTGACGTCGATCGCGAACCGAAGACCTTGGCAGAGCAGGAATTCTCCAGCAAGAATGTCCTCCGGATTGTCCTTGCCGAATTGTTTGCCGAACCTGATGAGAGGAGACACCAGTCAGCTGGCGGCCGAAACCCCCCCGTTTGGAAAGGAGGAACTGACTCTGTAATGCTGATGAATGACCCCTCCGCCTTGCACGCGAAGAATAGCGCCACTATGAGCATCTCCTGCGGCGGATAAGTCATGATGCTATTTGTGACGTAGAACCTCCTGAAGAAGGCGGCGGCCGTGGCCTTGATCTCATCCGGCATCTCAGCATGATCGCCCGCCCGTAGTAGCTCCAATGTGTAGAAGTTCATCAACTGAGCTTCCTCGGGCGCCGAGAGGAATTCAGGTAGCGCAGAAATGGACGCGCCTTCGGGATCGGGGGTGTTCACGCTCGATGTCGGTGCAGAGGTGGTGTTGGAGGCGGCAGGGAGGGAAGCTAGGCGCTCGGCGATTCTCGTGCGGGCGGCGGCGTTCGTATTCTCTCGCATGGCAGCTAGCTGGGTGGGCGAGAAAGACCACATCTGGTACTGCGACGTCTGCCGGTACCGCGCATCTTCGGCGGCCATGGCGGCTGGCGCGATCGCCGAGGATTTTGTCGCCAAGAGGGTTCGAGAGCTGGTTGTCTCTTTGAGCCTTATCGAGAGCTGTCAGCGCGAGCTAGTGCTGATTGTGAAACATACGCAAAGATCAAAATCGGATCTGGATGTCAGTGGTGCCAGGTACTGCCCACTGGTTTGAGAAGCAATGGCTCCTCTATCACCGAAGCACCGGTCTTAGCTCGACAGCTCGGAGTCGAAGGTGTGGAATCCTTCGAGGTCGCAGTCCCACAGTGGAGAGATACACGCAGCCAGCGCTAGCCTTCTTGGCGGCAGGGATGCCAGAGAACTCCCGTCACCGCAAAAGGGCCTCCTCTTTCCGGGTCTTTTTGAGGCGGTCTTCCGCCCTCAAATGGGGATAACGCCCCTCAATTATCACGCCGGTATGGCACTCGAGAGAGCACTTGGAAGACAATGTCGAGGTGAAACGCTGAAAGAATAGGATCTATCCTAACTTATACCTTGCGATCTGCATCGTCAAGCCATATCTAACAGGTCCGTGATAAGCCAGCAGAAGATCTTCACCGCGAGGCACGCGGAGCCAGTCCACGAACCCTGAAGGATACCGACCATCGCCGATGGAAATCCAACGCCAAAAGCCGACCCGTACCCGTACCATACAACTCGACACCTTCAACGACCTCCTATACCGCAGGCCGAGTGCTCATTACCAACACGCCAGACAGCAAGATGATAAACCGCCCGGTCAGTAACCGGCATCCCGCCGCGCAGGCACCGGCGGGGGCGGCTTCTTTGACCTGCTCGGCGGCGGCGGCGGCGGCGCCTTCTTCACCCCACCAACTCCCATGGCACTACTCATCATGGCGTTGTTGCTTGGCGTCCGGCTCAGGCTCCCGAAGCTCGTCGCAGAACTAGTGCTGCGGTTGGCCCAGTCGGCACTGCCCGCGTCGCTGCCCTCGTCGCTATCGCGGTCAGCAAACACGTCGTCGTGTGTCGTGGTTGTGGTGAGACGGTTGACCGGCCGCAGCTGGCCGCGCAGGGCGCCCATGTTCGCCATGGCGGTTGGCGTGCTGGTGCCCGAGACACGGCTTCGCTCGCGGTCGAGGCTCGCGCCGCCTTGGAAGCTGGTGGTGCTGCTGCTGCTTGATTTACCAATGGGTGGTCGGACTGGACCGTCAGCTTGTTGCTGGGTGTGCGATTGCCTGCGGGAGTTGCTAGGACGGATGGGCATGCGGACCGGCGGCGCCGTTGACGACTCGGCTTCGAGGGTGTTTGTGCGCGACAACCGCTCGCTGAAGCTGTGGGCCGTGTTCGACCGGCTGCGGACGGTGGGGCGCCGCTCGACGGGGCTGTAGCTTGCAGACGAGCGGGCGGGCCAGTTCTGGCGCACACGCCGGAGTTCCTCGGCGCACCGCTCGTGATACTCGAGCTCTGCGTCCAGAAGCCGGGTCAAGTCGTATGTGCTGTCGGCCTCGGAGTCTTGGATGTCTTGCATGCGGCGGAGGACGTCCTCAGACGACTCTTCGTACTTGGCTTTTGCGGCGCGAAGCTCCTCTTCAAGCCGGAAATCGTCCCGCTTGGCCTTTTGAAGCTTAGTGATGCTCGCGTCATAGTTCAGCCGGCGATTCTCGAGCTTCTTGCGAGCATTCTAGGAGAGTGCGTCAGCATTCGACCGAGCGCTGATCAAGCGATAAGCAGGGTAGCCAACCTGGTACTCCTTCATCATGGCCAGGGATTTCTCAAGTGACTCCAGCCAGGAGCCAGTGGCTTGGCTGACAAAAGACTCCTGGATTGCCGAGATTCTTTCGTTGGCGCGGCCCATGGTTATTAGGCAGTTGCCGAAGTCCGAGTCGGACTGAAACTCCTCGCCATGGCTGACCATAGTGCGGCCCAGGTATCCCACCGGCAGCCCCTTTTCTCTGTCTTCGGAAGGCTCAAGGCGGCGGCCCATCCACTTGATGTACTGGTTCATGGACCGTTGGAGGCGCTCCATACCTAGGGCGCCGTCAGCAGCCGATCATTACGACACTGTTATAGAGGAGAACTTACCCTCGAAGCGCAGGGCCATCTCGGTCTCGAGCATCTTGAAATCTTCAGACATGTTCGTCTTGGCTTCGCCGCCCATCTTTTCGCCCGCCCATTGGAAGGCACGGTCGAACTTCTTGGTGATATTCATAGTGGCAAGTTGCTAATGGTATGGGCTCGGCGAGCAAACAATAGCGTGGGAGGATGAAATCAGGAGGGCTTGGGCTCCTCGGTAGCCGGTGGCAATGGTGTCCTTTTGGGTTGGGTTCCGCGAGGAACCTGCCAACACACTGTCGGGTCACCAACCTCTCAAATTTGGTGTGGTGGTTGGCTGCAGTCCAACCATGCAACGAGTGACGTTCCCCACTTGCGACACACTGGCAAGAGTGCACCTAGCGTATTCGTTGAAGTGTCGTGCGGTCTCGGTGGAACTTGGCCGTCTGTGAGCGAGAACAAAACGATGGAACAGAAGGTGTCCGGAGGGAGGAGCAGAGCTTGATATGTAACGAGTGTGATGGTTCCAGAGAGGTGGCGATAACCCGGAAGAACTGGACCTGGTTCTCTGGATTGCGAAACGCTTGAAGTCGACATCCCTGTTTACTTGATGAAAGGCGGCAGGGTTGGGCGGGCGTTCCAGGCAAGTGATCTTGCAGCGCCTGCAGGAGGCAGGATAGGGTCCTCTGTGCCTGGTCGCCAAGAGGCGGGACGGAACACACAACCGACAAGGGTTGATTGATCGGTGGGAAAATGCCACTTCCTCGCGTCCACATCCATCCATTGTACGGATCCGTACCTTAAGGTACCTAGGAAACGAATGGCAATTGCAAATAGGATTTTTACATTAAACTGCGACGAGTCAAGTGAAGACAGAATGAACTTGGAACGTGTGTCTCATGCAATCATACTGCTTACAGCTACGACACTTCCTTGCTCAGATGCCTGATAAACCTACTTCAGTACGATTACGCAGTACGCCCCGTCCCCTGCGGTGGACCCATTCGTCCTTGATAAACGCGCGTCTGGAGTGCTGTAACGCTAGCGTGTCTTGCTCGTCTGATGCGACCGCTTGCTGGGGCAGTTTGTTTGGCAGGCAGCGACCCATTTCGAGACCTGCTGTGAGCTCAGAGTCCAAAGGCATTGGCGGACCGCTACAGGGTTCTCCAGTCTCTCGAGGCAGTTATCAGCGAATCGATCGTGAGGCGCAGCAGTTTCCACTCAGTGGAGTTGTTTTCTCAGCCCGAGGAAGCGCATCTGCGGGTTACGTCACGAAGCGGAATCAATGATTGGCTGCACATCTGGTACAATACATTTTCTCGAGTTCATAATTCGGCAAGAGACGCATCTTGCTTCTTTTCCGCGTTCCTATCTACCGTTTTAGACGAGATTTGATCCGGCCGGGTAGGTCTGAAGATGGCCGAACCTCACGAGTCGACCTTATCACGAGTCGACCTTTTACAGTTCTTCCCTGGTATGTTTGTTAGCGTAGTTCAATGCCGCACAATGTGACGAATCTCAAAGCCCCAACTTCTGAAAGGGACTCCTGAAGGTTATACTTGACAACGGGGTGAGATTCGGTGAAGCCAAAGGGTTCACAACAAGCAATGTCCAAGAGTACTGACAATCTTGCACCTGAGTTGCTTACTGGAGAACTGCCAGAGTCCTCCAGAACGAGTGACTATATACTTGGTAAAGCGTTCATGATCGCCCATGATCGCAGTCTACCAAGAGCTCCTTGATCGCCTTGGGTAGCCAGCTACCCAAGTCTAGCCTTGATCGCCCGGTCCCCACGGCTACCGTGTGGGCCTCGTGCGGTTCCTGCACTTCCTTAGGGGCACGATTAGCTCTGGGGTTCTGTCTTGTGCCCCACTGGGCCTGTACATCTGGTTAGTTCGTGACATCTATAATTTATACTAAGGGGGATAGATGCTATTACGAGTGGGCGCAACTGACCACTGCGTAATACCTTCAAAAGAGGGACTGTGGTTCTAACTATCTAGTCGAACTATGAGTTGCGCATATAAATCTCACACTGTCACTACCGGTGGTAGATGCCTAGAGTTATAGGCTTATCCAGAAGGTCCTTAGCTAGTGTCACGAATATGGCCGTATGCAGAATCTGGTGGGGGCGCGAGGGGAGTGTCCCGAGCCAATCATTTAGAACAGGGGTATAGCCAATCACGACGGGAGCGCGAAGTCAAGCATTCGCTCCATGGAAGGAGCGATGGGAGCGACGAGCGCTCCCAGCGGACCAGGAGCGACAGGAGCGAACTTCGCTCCTTACGCTCCTAAGGACAGTAGGAGGGGAAGTTGTATATAGTTCACGATCCCCAAAGCCTACGGGCATCACAGTAGCTTCCTCAGTAAGCAATACAAGCAGTCAGCCATATCTACTGTTGAGACAATTGCTTGTGCACTTGTTGTGAACCCTTTGGCTTCACCGAATCTCACCCCGTTGTCAAGTATAACCTTCAGGAGTCCCTTTCAGAAGTTGGGGCTTTGAGATTCGTCACAATGACAGATGGTTATAGGGTCCTGCCACTACTTTCAGCCCTTATTAAATTGAAGCAGCTTGCACTTTTAGGTCGCAAAGGCTATCTCTCAAGTGTGACGAATCTCAAAGCCCCTACTTCTGAAAGGGACTCCTGAAGGTTATAGCTTTGACAACGGGGTGAGGTTCGGTGAAGCCAAAGGGTTCACAACAAGCAATGTCCAAGGGTACTGACAATCTTGCACTTGAGTTGCTTACTGGAGAACTCCCAGAGTCCTCCAGAACGAGTGACTATATACTAGATGCATTTGGTTGCTCTCTCGTGCTCTCTAGAGCCACCTAGAGCCAATGCTCTATGGTGCTCTCGAGAGCCTCTTAGAGCGTCCTCTGATTGGCCTTGCACTGGTGCTCTCTCATGCTCCTGAGAGCTCTCTGGAGCACCTCTAGGACTCGTTCCGATTGGTCCTAAGTGATTGGCTCGAAACGTCCTACGTTCCCCACTGGCTTCTGCAAGTAAGCCGCCGTTGTTGACTCTCGTTGGTTCATTTGTGACATCAAGTGATAGCTCACTGTAAGCAGGTCTTCTAGGCATTTTCTAGTTAATAAATGTTAACTATCAAGTACTTGAGCTCCCTACTAACTCAGGCTCAGACTGGGTGTCACGGGTCGTGACAGTGTGAGGTTCATGTGCGCAACTCCTGGTTCGACTTGACAGTTCGAACCACGGTCCCTCTTTTGAGGGTGTTACGCAGTGGTCAGTTGCGCCCACCGGTGACACTGGGGCTATAGGCCTCAAGGCTTCCTCTTCTGAGCCGAGATTCCTCGAATACCTACCCCTGACTGCGAATGCGGCCAGGGCAGGAAATAGTAGAATACTTACTTATATAGTGACGCCAACTGCTGAAGCTAAGGACCTGGCCGGCTACTGAGATAAGCTCGTAAATGTCACGGGATTCCCTGTTCCTTGTTCTCATGGTTATGTCGTATGCTTGCGGTTATGCATACGTCATGGGGTTTGATCATACGTCTATGGTCATGCTTACGCATAGGCCTCTGCTCCAGTACTTAAGGTCTGGTTGCACGCCCATTCCTGTCATCTAGCTCTTGCTCTTGTTGTAGCAATATCGATCTTGTATGTGCGAGCTGACCAGACCTTTGGTGGTGCCCGTCACAGTAAAGAGATATGTGTAGAGCTCTCGACAGGCGAGGAAATTAGAGAGAAGGCTTGCAACGAAGATGATTAGGTAGCTACTATACTTTGAGAGGCTCCTAGAGTATAAACTAGCTATATAGCTAGAACTAAGCTACTGTAGTTCGATAGCCTAGTTAGCTATCTACGCCTTTCTTTTCGCTATAGTGAGTGGATTTAGGACTTCAGACTAGTATAGGAGAGACAGAGATTTTTAGTCTAGCTTTACAAGCCTAGTATTCCTTTATAATTAGTAGTAGAGGGTCCGGCGAGCCCTAGGGCATAGCAGGAGAGGAATGATAATAATATACCTCAAGGACTTAGTAATATCTCTCCTTATCTCACTATAGTTGTCTTTATTAATATTACTACCTCTTATTTAAATCTATAAAAAGTACTTTGCTAATAAGCATATTAGGAGAAGAGTATATAGCAGTTATATCGCAAGATGCACAAGTGGCAAAACGCCGTTCATCAACTCAAATCATAAGATATTGTTGGAAAGCCAACAGCCACGAATGTGCCGCACCGTAGTAATTGGGTACCGAAAAGATGGGCAACCACTCAATTGTTGATGATGTTCCTGTCTGTGTTCCTCCAGAAGTTCCCTGCCTGTTCCTGATCCTGAGAATCCTGGTGCCAAGCCATTGGTCACCCCTGAACTGCCCTCTCTGACCACCTGCCAAATCCAACAATAATTCTAGGGGAGCGAGTAATAGAGATATAAAAGGGATGGTGTTCGCCTTTGTTGCGCACAGTTCAAGTTGACGTTGAATACCGGCCAACGCCGTCAACTTGTTGGAAGACCAACAGCCACGATTCCACGGTGATCACACAGATGATGGGAGCTTACAACAGTGGGTTTGAGATACTCGGAGCATCCCAGATGTT